TTGTTTTCCATGTATTGTTCCATTCATTTTTTGCTACTTTTTTGCAGTGGATTATTTGGTCGTCGCAGGGGATTGGAAGATAATTACGATTGTTAATAAGTGAGGGAACTGTGGCTTCTTTTGCTGCTGCGTCGGCTTTTTCATTTCTTTCTATTCTTTGATGAGCTGGAATCCAGATGACTGTCGCATTTGTGTTAGGTTGGTTGTGGTTTAGTTCTTGGATATTAATTGGTTTTCTTGATCGTATGATTTCGTTAGGGATTTTGGATAACGCTCATGGAGTCAGTGTATATGACGATCTGAGCTTCGTTATTTGAGTGTGCATATTTGATGGCTTCCAGGAGAGCATAAATTTCGACTGTGAAGATGGATGATAAAGAAGGGAGATTTTATGTTTTTTTTTTTAGCTTTTTCAGTGATAATAGCGTATCCAGCTCCAGTGTCCGTTTTTGGCCCATCGGTGTAAATCTTGCTGTGTTGGAAGTAGTTGTTATTTAATTCTAGAAAATCATTACGGGTGTAAATCAAGATTTGGAGAATCTCGATTTAGTCCCTAGTCTATCTTCGGTATTTGGAGTAGTCCAACAATACTCCATACATATACGTAAAACTGTAAAACTTACGTAAAGCTCCCTCCGAACGATTCAATACCAAAAGCCTTAAAACTAATTGAACTTGCCCCCCCTATGATCAAAGATGTAATGCAGTCAATGCAGTCAACTGCTAATTATACACGTTGCAAGAAATTTCAATACTGTCATTGGAACAATTCTCGTTAGCATCGGCCATCTATCACGCAGAGACATACCTAAGAGAATTATTCCCAACGACGATGATAAACGACGATAGTCTAGGTTAAACACTGTTACAAGATACGAACTGGGACACGGTGAACTGGTGAACGAAACGAAGTAGCGGAATTTTCTAAGACAAGAACGAGCCAGCAACTTTCGTCCAACGAACCTAATAAAAAGAAACAACCCCCGGACGTCACGCCGAGCTACGGCTAACGCAATTTATCGGACGAGATAGACCGACTTCCTCCAGCGCTCCGATTAGAACCTGTAGTGGTGTTTCGTAAGGACGAACGAAAATTCCAAGCTTCCCTTCGTCTTGCTGGTCGTTCGTTTTCTCCTGTGGCTACTCCTCAGCTATTTCAACGGAGCTTCGTGAAACTATTCTAACCTATTTCTGTTTCCTATCGCTGTGAAAAATATCTTTATCGTTCTTGAACTTCACGATGGCAATTATAATGTGAAACTTCGTTGGGAAAAGCTCTCATATCCTGACAAGCCGTTTTTTTTCCTAATTGTGCCCTGCTGTTCGTTAACGAGATGATCCGTTTTAATTGCCACCGGGCGCTGAGAAATTCTCGGAAATTCATTCAGCGAGATCGCACGATCAGAATTAAATTGAAACACGTATCTACGCGTGTGTCTCAGCGACAAGCGTAGAATAGAACGCGGCGTATTGTATAATGGACAGTAACAAAATTAATTTCTCAAGAAAAAAAAAAATAAAGAAACAAAATAGAAACACCTCGTTACGGTAAACGAGGAACGTTCATGTAACAAGAAAATGCTTCCTTTACTCGCGAACGTTTCACTGTGAATACGTACAATTTATGATCATTTATTCGCTACGATTCGCTCTGAAAATATCCATCATTTTTTCTCGTTTAAGGGTATTTCTTATTCTGCGAACAGAAACAAAATAGGTAGGGAAAACAGCTGGCTATATCGAACAATTCCTACGCAACATTCACTATACCGTGTAGGCGTCGGATCATGCCGCGACGCTTTCACTGTTGCGCCGTCTGACCGCAGACTGATGTTTTCACTTCGGTTAAAGCAAATTAGAGAGATCCACATACCCCGGACTGACTAATTGACGCTTCGTAAAATAAATGAATAAATAATCTAAACGACAACGTGAATGTCTTTCGACGTGAAATTTTTGAATAATTTTTCGAATAATCCTCGAGTTACGAGAGAATAAGCAAGCCAAGTTCTAAAGCTCTCCCGCGTGATACGAAGCTCCCTCCGCTACGTGGGCGAAGTTAATCTTTCCATTAATATATATTCTATTTGCTTTTATGACGTCGACCAACTGTTTCGAACGCGTTTTCGCGATAATGCGGGTTTTCGTGACAACGGCCACCGGCCGTTTCCGAAATCAATGCCTCCGTTAAAATCCGACATACCTGCGGTGAACAACATCAGTCGTTCGTACAGCCAATTGATACAAATTAACAGTGAATTGGAGCAAGGATAAATCGAACCAGCAGAAACTTTTCGAACGATTGAACGAGCAATACGTTATCCATCTACAAGCGCGGAAGTAGATAGTAAAAAAAAAAAAAAACTTTGCTCGATCATGTCGATACGTTGTGGATTTAAAAAGAGACGTGTAATTATAAAACAAAGGTATACATACATATGTGAAAAAAAACGACGAAAATAGATCAACTCCTAATTTTTTAATTTCGTCGTACAAGTGAATTCTACAGAAAACAACATTTCACATAAATTTCAATTTTTTGGATTTTTCTGTACCTCGAAAAGTAGCAAAAATATCGAGTGCCAAATATGTTCGTTTGCTAAACAGCGTCGCTTTGTAACTTCATTGACTCGAAGAGTTGTACGTGGATACATATCTATAAGAGAAAGTTTTAACTAAAGACCAAAGGATAACGCACAAAGGCGGCGATGTTTTTTTTCCTCAAGTGTTTCTTTTCTGAGCAATCTTATCGATCGTTCGAGAGAAATTTCATTCTCATCCTGTAGCATGTTCATCCTATCCGCGCCCTAAATCACACTCTCCTTCACCCCAGATAAGTAATTTCCTTTTCGCGGTCGTGCTACATTCGACGATATATGTCAGTGTCAAGAGCTCGCGCTATATGATCTACCACTGCCGCAAACTAGTTCGCAGAATCTCGTGGAAGTCATTACACGATAAATTTATAATAACCAATAAAATAGATGCTCGATTAAAAGAATTGTCTCAGTGTATTTTATATTAGTAGTACAGTCAACAAGCTTCTTTCATCCTGTTTCGTAATATTAGTGTGACGAAGTAACTACTTCTACAACGAAGGAAGTGAAAAGCTTACCGGTCCAAGATTGACAAATCCGTTCCTAGCAGCCACGCGATCGGCGACGTGTCTCTCCGCGGGCTGCCTCATCTTCACGAGGAACGTATTAGTGAATACCTCGGCACTACTACCGGCGCAAAGGAGCGCGATCACCGCGAGTAACATCGTGACAGGCCGGCGACGTACGCTAATGTATTTCGCATTCGCGGGCACTGTACTCGATGTACGCGATGGTACTACGATTTTCGTGCTGTCAACCACCTCTGCGGAAGGAGTAGCCAATACCTTTTTCTCGGTGGTAGTAGCGACGCTGGTGGCGTTACCGACAACGTTCGTCTCACTGGTGACGAGAATTTTGGTAGGGGTGGTGGTAGAATCGCACGAGTCGACGTATGAGCTTGCCGAGACGTGCGCAACAATACAAATAACACGTGCTTTCCCCATGCCCGTCGTCGGTCGACTGGTTTGCTGCTGCTTCTCGGTTGAGCCACTCGACCAATCAGAAACAAGTTACGCGGCAACGCAATCCCTGATTCGTTGAACAGGTGTAACAGTGATCAGCGATGGAAACGCGCGAAAATTAAATGCATTGGATAAATCACATATCACGTATTTGAATATTTAAGTGTTCAACAAGTAGAAATTCGTGTATTTTAAGAAAAAAATGTATTGCCAGTTGTAAATTCGTTTTACGTGTGTGAAATGAGAATGACGCGATGCGCTCGAGTTTGACGTCACATGGTGTATCGATTGAATAGTACGTTAGAATGATGGCGCTCATCCGCTAAACATGCGCGATAACAGTTGCTCTGAAATATTTACGCAATATAACATTATTCTTTCGCATGATAAACTTATATAAATCGTTAATATTGTTCGTAATTGTTTATGGATGTTCAGTTGACTCTTTCGATAATTTAACGCTATTACTTTTGAACATACCTCATTTCGCGCGGTTTTCTAAATAACTTGTATGTGATCAGATAGTTTTAAATTTTTTATCTCTTGGAAGTAATAGTTTACTTGAACATCTTAATAATTTTCAGTTAACATTAAAATTTTTGGAACTTCAATAATAATAGATTTTATTCCTAAATAATATGTACCCAAATAAATCAAACCGAATATAATGACACTATGCAGTAATAAATAAAAGTACTTTTATAAAGAAATTTAGAAAATTATTCAATATTTATTCGAAATTTTTAAACTTACTTTAAATTAATACATATTACAATACAGATTTACGACAATACGTATCACATAATCAAATAAATATATTTACATACTTCTAGTATGTTAACATATTATCTATATATTCTGTAACTTAATACTAATTTCTTTAAGAGTAATTTAAAATTACTAACATATTCAAACAATATTTAAAACTGAGGATGTTTTATAGTAAAATAGAATTTTTTTATTAAGTAGTTGTACATATTTTGACACAGTTGAAAATGATTAATAAACAATAAGCACAATTGTTGCAAATGGAACTTGATATTACAACATAGTGATAGATAATTTCAATGACTGGTGTAATTAAAGGACCTATCATCTTTTTATAGACTTTCTCTCTGAACTTTCTGACACAATATCAGTTGACTTCGTATTTGTTTGTTGTAGTTTTCGTTTTGCTTCAAGTCTCATCTTTGCTTCTAATCGTTTTCTCTCTATTTCTTCTGGAGTGCACCGTACAGATTGAGATTCTTTTATGCTAGGCAAATTGCTAGCAGATTTGTGTTTAACAATACCATTACCGCTTTCCTTTCCATCTAATCTGTTAAGTTCATGTGTATTTCCCACCCCATTAATCGATGGAATATTATTGTTTTTATATGGATTCTGATCTTTTGGAGATGTAGTACTTACTGTTGAAGTAACCAGATTTGAACCAATTTTTGATGTATTGGTCTTACTATTTTTGTATTGATAAAAACCTTGATCTGATAAACATTTGGTTTTAAAGAATTTTCTATTTTCTAAGGAATTCTGACTAGGAAAAGATTTTTGTATTGTCTTTTTGTCAGTTATCACTTCAACTTCTTCTACTAAATCATCTATAATAAACATTTCATCAGGAGTTGCTAGTTTCGAAAGAGAATTATTTGGTCTATTAATTATTGGATCAGAAATAAGTCTCAATGACTTTTTAGAATGATTTACATTAGAATATGACTTTGAAGGACTAAAATCATATTCTGATAATTTAGACAATAATTTATCATCTTCTACACAAGTTGCCAAACAGTCGTCAAAAGAATCATCTAGAAAATCAGATGTAATTTTATCTTGCAGTGTTTGTTTTCCATGTGATACATTTATAACATTACACTTAGTAAGCCTGGAACTAGAGACTGAAACATTTGTTCTATTCAAATTATTTGAATATGTTTTTAAATGACCATTTGTATTAGTTGAGCAAGATTTAGAACTTTTGGGACGTTCAGTAGATGTATTAGATATGGTCAAATATTGAATCTCCTTTTTAGATGGAGATAATTCTTTTTTCTCATTAGACAATTCCATTGTGTCATTTTTTTTATCTTTACATAAGTTCAATTTTTTCTCAATTTCTTGACTACATTTTACCATTGAATCATCAATTGAATCATCAAATAAATCTTCATAACTTGTAGGTTTTTTATTATTATTATTATTAATAGAAGACTCTAATTTTAGTTTATTACTTTCAACAACACAGTCCACCATTATATCTTCACTACCATCACTGTCCAATTCTATTACTAACTTACTGCTACTTTCAAATATTGTATCATCCTCATTTTCAACTTTGTTGTTACAATTTTGTTGTATGGTTTTCATTTTTTCATTTAAAGCTCTTAATTCTGCCGTCAGCTTTCCAATATTTTCTATATTTTCCATTTTTACCTGCTTTCTCTTAAGTGGCTTTTGCAATAAAGGAGAATCTGAGTTTCGTTTCTTTTGCAATTGTTTGGTTCTTTTGGGTGTCTCGACATGACTGTTTGGTGTCTTTGATTTATCACAAGAATTCTTATTACCAGAAGTCTGCCAATCCCAAGCAATTTCATTACCACCATCCTGAGTACAAAACATTGAAACAGGACTACACCTATAATCTAATTCAGGAGAATCTTCTACATCATACACATAATCTCTTTTTCGAATGGGTGTACTATAACCGGAAATACGTAAATCAGAAGAATGTTGAGGAGAATCATTTCCTATATCAACTTTCATGTTTTTACTAAGTGAATCTAAAACATATAATTTACATCATCATTAAAAGTTAATTGATTGTACTTACAAAAATAACATTAATTACCTTCATGTACATTATTAGTTTTACAATTTTCTTGTTGTACACTGCATTTTTTTGTTGATTTTTTATTTTTACTCATTATCTTCAAAACTAAAGTATAGAATTCACTTACAAATTAATAGCGTTTAAAGGTTAAACATGTATAAATCTGCCACATACTCTGCATATACTATACATAACATACTTCGTATTATTTCGCATTAAATTGATAAATAATTTATAATAGCATAAATATTAAACTTCCTTATATTTTACTTCCTTAATTTTTGTGTAAAGAGTATTTATACTTTCTCTGTATGTTTCAGATCTAACATTTAACAAAACCAAATAAAAAAAAAGTAACAAACTTCAACACAATTCTCTAACCTCACTATATTCTTATACAAAATGAAAATAATCATTAGCAATATATTGACCCATTGTCACTGTTTTCTGTTCTGAAGAAAATATCAAAATCATAACCTTAATGTGTTTGAAAATAATTATAATAACAATTATTCCTATAATTGATGCGAAACAAAAGTATAAACAAAACATACCAATTTTAAATGATAATTTTAAATTTCCCGCAAAAATTGAATAAAGACCAAACTTCAAATGAATAATACGAAAAATATATGTCACATAGTTTCTGTCAATAAATACCAATCAGTCAACATTTGTAAAATAATATCAATATAAATATAAACTATTAGAAGATTATAATGAAAATCATTTGAAAATAAGGTTAAGAAAGTAAAAGTAAAAACTAAAAGTATGAAACTCAAATTATACAACGATATAGTGACAACAATTCGAAAATTTCGAGGTTTGTCAAAGGATTGTAGAGATGTTTTAAAAGAAAAGTATAGCGAGTAAGATCATTTTCTTTAAAAACATTGCCATTTAATTATTATTCGCTAAAGTATTCTTATTTTATTTAGTATTCCAGTATATACTTTGTACAGTATATTATCTTTAGAAGTGCAACACAAAATGAAAATCAATCATAGCAAGTTATTTGGTAATAACAAAAATTATTATGACACGTAAGTATACTATTCATTATGTTTTTAATATAATGATATGCTCTTTTATTAAATAATTTAAATAATAGTTACATAGAAGCTGTACAAAATGGAGAACCTGTTGGAATTTTACTGAAAATGGCAAAGGATATTGGTGCACCTCCTGCATTGTTGGCTAGAAATGTTCTTGAAAAACATTGTGGAAAAGATGAATCTAATGGTAACATATACATATATAAAACTTGAAATACTTTGCAACGAAAAGTAATTTTTCTTGAATTATAAAGGATAATATACTTTTAGTTTCTCGAAATGAAGTTAGCAAGTTATTCAAAGACACTACTCTCATACAAGACAAGGATCTTGCATATGAAGTATATTTGGTAATAAACTTAAAATTTATTAATAAGTTAAAAAATAAATATAACATATAATAACTGGATAACATTTTACAGTGTATATTATATGACAATTTGTATGGACCTATATCAGATGCTGTTGGAACGTAAGTGTTATGTCATGAAATAAATCAGTCAGTTGTTTACATATTGTTATAAATTAAATTTATAGTTCTGTAGGTCAAGAATATGAGTTAAAATTACAAAACTACTTAATAGAACGAAATCTTGCATTCCGCAATGAAGAACACTTGAGATCAAGAGGATATGATAAAACACCAGATTTCAAACTTGAAGTTCCAATTGCAGTAAATGGCTTTGTGATTAATTGGATAGAATCCAAGGCAAGATTTGGAAATACAGAAATACATCAAAAGTATATCAAAGAACAATTCCTAAGCTACTGGAACAGATTTGGTCCAGGACTTGTAATTTACTGGTTTGGATTTTTGGACAATCTGAATGAACCCAGCGAAAAAAGATTTATTATCATGGATCATTTCCCAGAAGATGTTACGTATATGGATCCTACTTGTATTAAACCTGCAACTTCATAACGATTGTGATTTCTTAAATTTTATTTTGTAACAACATTAGTGATATTCATAGAATAAGGATTATTATTGTTAAATATAAAATGATATTTTATTTGTCAGCTTTTGATATTTTAAAATTATTTGAAAAAGGTTTTTAGGAAACAAGTATCTCATTCTCCACTTCCCTTTTTTAGTTAAATTACGAGCATTGAAAACATAATATTACAAATACAGTAAGAAAGCATATGATATATTATGCAAGCGAACTAATGCGTTTATTTATATATCGAGCTGTATCTGGCCATAGGCGCCGCTACTGTCGCGATTTCAAAGCCAGTGTCTCGGATAGCTTTCAAGTACTTTATTAATATAGCACAACAAAAAATCCAAAGAAAGAAATATTAAAACATGTTATAATTGCCAATCGATTTGCGACAGAATAGAATAATAAAACACCACATACCTAATAAACACAACGCAATAATAAATTCAATAATATTGTAGATAAACATTTCAAAATTAAAAAATATTAATTGCGTAAATTAAATCTATGAGATGCAGCTTGATAACACCTGTCATTATTGAGAGTCATTGCACAATCGAGAATTAACAGAAAATGACCACGTGAATCTCGTTCTTGCTCACCGTACTTGATTTGAAGAAACGTGAGACCGGAGAGATCGAGGTAATATTTCGAGACTTTGTCAATAAAATTCGTGATTATATATTGAAAAAAAATGTTTTCGAATTAATATTTTAAAAAGTATATATTTGCACACCAATTAATCTATCCACGTAGATTCACATTAAATTTTATAATACATACTGTAATGACACATTTGACTTAAAAAAGTATTCTTAATTTTTATAACATTAAAAAGACAAGTAAACGAATAAAAATAAACAAAAACTGATATTAACCGAAAATTAAGTGCGAAATATGGTATATGATATGATAACATTGATAAGCCATCAAAAAGATTACTTTCGTGATAAATTTCAAATCATAGCAACTTTTTTCTTAATCCTGAATTTAGACATCGTTTGCATTTGTTATTATGTGTAACTTTGACCTATTTCATCCTCGTTCCAGATTTTCCTAGTTCAAGGACGTGTCACCTACGTGCATCGAATTGGTTCCAATTCGTAATTAAATTTGCAAAATTCTGTAAACGCACTCGATTCGATTCCCAGTAATTTTCTTTCAAAAAATTCGATGAAAACAATGGTAATTTTAGGCTAATTTTATCGAAAAGTATCATGATCATTATATGCCTTAATTCTTTGAACATTTTACTCGCAAATAATCTTTTCTTATCTTAAATGTACTTTTTAATTCCTATGCAATATTTGAATAAAATTATTTATTTATATAACGTTATGATACATTCAGTAATAGGATGGCTGAGAAAGAAACAAGCAATCCAAAATTGCAGGAACAGTCAATGAAAACTGTGCTACAATCTCAACTCGCTAAAATTAAAAAGGAGGTGAAGTAACAAATTAAAAATTCTACGAAGTTCCTGTTTAATGCTTATAACATGGGAAATAGATGATCATTGATTGAATCAAATTTCAACGTCTCTGCAGGAAGAAGAAGAATTATGGATATCGGGGGAAGAATTGTATACGGAGGGTAGCAGTGACGAAGAAGAGTGTAAAATACAATCACGATCGCGTCGTAAAGTCAATAATAATATATCATCGCGCACTTCTTCGGTTAACTCTAGTGTCGAACGACAAGGTTATTCACCCGTTTCGATTGAAACTAAATCGAAACTAAACTATTCTGCTGATGCTCTTAAAGGTAATATTATTGAAAATCAATTTGTGCTCAAAACTGTATTGCAATGTGACAAAACCTTGAAAGATTCAAGTCGAACATCGTCGATGGAATCTCCAAGATCCGATCACCTTCCTACAACGGAATTATCTATAAGCTCAATTACAAATGATTTTTCCGATCTTTCGACTGTGGAGGATCAAATAGAAAATACGGAAATTTCATGGAAAGCAAACAAAGGTACTTTTGTGTTACCTAGCTCGAGTGACGATGTAGAAAAAGAAACGAACAAATGCTGACATATTGAGAAAATTTTACGTGTGTCCCAAAGTTGTTATTTTGTTTATTACGTTGTATATACTTACGTAAACTATTTAATCTAAGATAATTCTTTAAGTATTCGATTTAATGCTACTTCTGTTGAACATATTAGTATTTTTAAATTGTACATAATTATTACATAATAATGAAGAATCGTTTGAAAATGACTGGAACGCTGACATTAATATTTCAAACATTGATGCGGAGGATGAGCGTATACGAAAAGAAATTTTAGAAGTGAAAATTCTTGATAATATTGTAAACACAATGAACGATAAAGTAAAAGTAAATTGTTTATAAGATGAAAAAACGGTTATTTTTTTACCGCCATAAACAAAATTGTTCTGATCGTTCTGCAGAAAACAATCAAAGAAACTGTATTGTATCAATTTGAAAATCGAAAACGACTAGAAAAAATGTTAAAATCAAATCCATCTGAAACTGGTAAACTTGCAGAAAATACGCGGCAATTTTTATACTTATGCCCCAAATATACAACGCTAAATACAGGTATGACAATAAAGATAATACGCGAAAGAGTTTGATAGTAATATTTTAATCGAATACAGAGTCAGATATATCGCTCGAGACAAATAATTCTAAAGAAATATTTCAAAATAGAGACAACATAAATCTTCTAAATCTTGATGATAAAGTGAGTTATATTAATAATCGTATTTTATAAAAATTACAATTTTTCATTTATCTTTCCCAAATTTTCTCTCTCATCAAAAAAGGATAAATGGAAATTCACGGATACAACTTACTGTATTAAAAATATAAACGATGTATTACAAGATTCTACTGATAATCCATATATAGTGAATGCAAAGATGAAAGAGATGTTAGAAATTAATGAAGAATTGACAATAACGTAATGAGAGTAAAATCAAATTGATCAAAATGTTATTTTAAACTAATAGAAACTTTTTTGGAAAAATTTACTTAATGAACAAGGATCTTAAAAAAAACAATGACTGTGTGTTTGATACAAACAGTATAATTTCAACAATTAATAGTATAAAAGATACAATAGATAGATACAATAAAAAGTTTGCAGGATATTGATAATGATCTTACAACTGAAATACTAAAGCTCAGATTATTAATACATTGTAAATGTCGCCAAAGATGAATTAAACATGTAAAATGGATAATTTTCAATATATAATTAATTCATATTATTATATCTTTGTTAAAATGTACTAAGTAATGTATTAAATTTATAATTAAAAAATTGTAAATTATAAATATTGAAATATATTAATATACTATTATACAAATATTATTGATATATTATTATACAAATATACTATTATACAAATATTATACTAATATTTCAAAAATATACTATAATATATATTAAATATATTAACAAAACAAAATTGTCTAATTTCCCTGAACATAATATGGATTAATTACAATTATGTACAATTATTTCCTATATAATTTATCTTTCACTAAATTTTGTCTTTTTTCCTATTTTTATCTGATATTGTATATTTATCATAACTTTTTGTTGGATCAAAAGGTTCCCATCGACTAGCAGGAAATATATGTTTATTCCTTTCGTACCAAGATCTAAAACCATAACATAACATATTAATACAAATTAATAATTTACATACAAACATTGTAAATAATGTTAGAATTAAAAAGAAATTATACCTGAGTAATACTTTTCCAGCATGAGATTCTTCTGTTTCTACAGAAGCATCATGCATAACACGGATATCATCATGAACATCGAATGTAAAAAGAGGTCCACTCTTTCCTCTTGCCTAAAAAAAAAATCAATAAGAAATTTTTCATTTCAACATCATATATATGAATATATTTCTTTTTATATTACATTTACCTTTGTTACAATGAAATCATAAAATGTATAATGATGTGGCAAAATAAGATCTTCTTTAACATACATTAACTGATCGGCCATGACTGTTTTAAGCTCACTGAATTCACGTCTTAATACTTCTAGACATCTCTGAAGAAGCTGATAAATGGAATTACCTACCAACAGTGCAAATAAATACAGTTAATATAACAATTATTCTTTTAATAATTATTTTAAAAAATTATGATTAAACCTTTACCTTTTTTCATAATAACACTTCTTCTATGTCCAGAACCATCCCAATAACTGAAAGTGATTTCAATCTCTTCTTCTTTTAATGCATTTTGTTTTCTAGCCCATTCTTGTCTTAGTTCTTCTCTCAATCTATTCTCCTCTTCTTCTCTTTCTCTATCAGGCAGAAAACTCGTGTCCACATCTGGATTTTTCTTTATTCTTTTTATTACTGGTTCAGTATCCTTTGATTCTATTTCCTCTTCAGAAAGCTCTACTTCATCTTCATCTAAATTAAATGACAAGGCTTGTATCTGTTTCTTTTGCTTATTTTTCTCAGCTTGTTTCGCAGCAAGGGCTCTTTCTTTCTCTTGTTCTTTTTCACGTTCCTTTTGTGCTAATTTTCGCTCACGTTCTTTTACTATATTCTCTTGTTTTGCTTTCATTTCATTCAAAGTAACTAAACCAATAGTAGAAGTTTTCAACTGTTGTTCAACTGCATTGTAATGTGTTGCAAATTTGTTTTCAATATTGTGTATCTTTAGATCATCTTCTATTTTCTTTTTCCTTAATTCTATCTCTTGTTGAGCAATTTCTCTTTTTTTCATTAACTGCATCGCTCTGCCAGCTTCACTGGCTGCTCCTTTATAGTGTGCCATATTTTCTAATGTATGTCAGAGCAATATTTTTCAATGAAGAATTTTGATACTTAATAAATATCAAGTTGATACTGATTTAGAGCTGTAAAAAAAGCAGTATGTTAAATACATGTCTTTTGTATTCTTTAAATTATTAGGTTACCGAAACCTAACATAAACCTTAACTAGGTTTACTGAAAAGGTAAGGATTATATTTTACAATATCTAACACATATATTTCGTAATTTTAATATTTACAACTTGTCAAAAATAATGTTTACTCTTTTGAAGAAAATAATTATCACACGATAAGTTTTCTGACAATAAAGGTATGCAATAAAGGTTTGTTTAGTTATTACAAATACTATTAGTTGCAATACATATATATTTAATAGTGTAAGTGTTTTTCATTAATTTCATTAAGAAAGTTAAAAAAAAATACACAATCACATACGAACACTCAACTACTAAGCGACGCTATCACGAGCAATGGCAGTATGTCACTACTAGCAGCATAGTTCTGTAGCAACCGCTACCTCTACAGAATTGTTCACTAAATCATTTCACCTCTATGTTCACTAAATCATTTCACCAAAAAGTGTTTCCAAACCGACAACGCCAACTTAATAAAACTCTTAGACATTAGAAAATTTAAAAATTGTTAGTTCATTAACTATTACCATGGAGAAATTTGAAATAGTTTCAAAATGTCATATATATAGCAACCATCAAAGAAATTATTCTTCATTCGTTATTTGTTATTCGTTCTTAGTTATTAAATATTTATAGAGAATATTTTAATTAATATATATTTTGTTACATTAATAATATTTTTATATAAATTATTAAAATTAAATACGGAGTTATTATTTTAATTTGTAGTACGGTGATTGAGTTAACATCATCGTACCTACAGTTCTAATCTCCTCTCTCGTATTGTTAATTACATCTCTATTAAGTCCCTAGTGGAATATATTTTTCATCATTATATTTTCTCTATACTGACAATACTGTACCATAGGCAAGACATAACATATAAGATTTTCTTCTATCAAACACTAAAATTCTGGAATCATTTTCACGTTACATCTTAACGTTATGTTTACAACAAAATTTCAAACCTTTAAGGTTTGTTCGGTTGGTAAGTTCGTACATTTTGTTTGACACGAAATCTCGCATGATTTTTAGGTCTATCTTATATATTGTCTGTGACAAAATTATCTACCACGACCATAATAATGTATACAAATTGTACTTTTTGACAGATTTAGTTATCACATACAACGGATTTCTACTGTTTTAAAGCCGAAAAATTGAATTAATCATGCCGGCAGTAATTGTGGGCCCTCCTCAACGTAGTGAACAAATGTGGCGAGCATTAAAAACCCATATTACAAGAGAAAGACAACGGAAAAAACAAGGTAACCTTCGTTATTAAGTTTTCAACTTTGTTCTAATTCTTTTAATAAATATGTAGAGCAAGAAGCAGATGCAGAGGAAGAACGCTTAAGAAAAGAACGAGAGCGGCAACAGAAACAGGATGTGATGACCTTAGGTGAAACTAGAGAACAAATATCAAATTTAGAAAATGAACTTTCGCAATTAAAAGATGAGAAGCATCAGTTATTCCTGCAGTTAAAGAAAGTTTTAAACGAGGATGATAATAGAAGACGACAATTAATTAAAGAAAGGTTTATATCATGTTTTTTTCATATATGTGAAATGTAATCGTATATTTTAACTATGTATATTTTTGTTACACAGTGTATGTCCTGAAGTCATAACAGCAGTAGGAGGATATCCTGGAACAGGTCCTAGAGTAGTTCATCCACAATTATTTCTTCCTTTACCAAGAAGCAATAGTCCTCTTTACAAAGTAGCTGTTGGTGCACCAACGCATACCTTACTACCAACTGTAAGTATATGAAACTTGTCTATAAAAAGATTATTTTACTTATATATCTTTTTCCAGGGGCCATTAAAAAGAACACATAGCCCCTCACCACCCCCAACAGCCTCTCCTTACCACGCTGGTTATGGATATAAACCAACACCTTCAATACCAAGTTATAATCCTCCACCCTCCAGTAAGTATATAAAACCACAATAGTTATAATTTCATGTTAAAAGAAAAAAGAAGAAAGAAGAGAATATTAAACGTAGATATTTGTGCCTGTATAGAATCTGAGGAAGCAGCTAGGAGATCTGGCGATTCCCGAGCTGTTCTCTGGAACAGTGAGTGAATAAATCTTAATTTTCATGTTCTTTCTTTACAAAACATAACAACATTTACATTTCGAATTCTTAATTTTGTTATTATGAATTTTCTTGCAGAGAATAATCAATATTCTGCCTCCAATTTTTATTCAGCGCCTACTGGTCAAAGTGTTTATAGTTATTCTGCGCAAACTTCGCAACCGTCCCGAGAACCTGAACCAACTAAATCTGTGTACCTTTCAGGCAATAGAACAACATTATCAACACATCAGACTGGTATATTAACGTTTACATGCAGATACTTCATTTTAATTATCATAAAATTATGTGAATTAATAAAAGCATTAAAATACTTTTATCAGCATATGTTACAAGTTTGCATTCATTGGACCATAAAGGTGCCTATGCAGAAGATAAATTTTATTTAAGGCCAAGTAGTCATGTTACTGTTCATGGTGGGGCTATTCCAATTCAGCAACCTCCACAGGTATTTCTTTATATTTAAATATCATGATAATAATGTTTTATGTTTGAAAAATATTTGAAAAATATTTGAAAATAGGGTGCTAAGACTGGAGGAATTACATCTGGATATCCTGTAAGACCACCGCAACCACCACCAGCGCCATATCCTCCGCCACCACCAGGTACTTACGTGAGTGCCTCTGGTGCTAATGTTCCTGGTCGATTATTATATACTCAACCTAGTGCTCGTTATCTCCAGAGAGAAGTTTAGGATACTAATTTACGAATACTTAAATTATTTGATCCTGATTCATATGCTTTATAGTCATCACTAAATTGTAAAAAAAAAAGGTATTTTTTATGCTGTCAACTAAACTCCACATAGAGTGGTCCACCAATTAAGTGAGGCCATCTAAATATCTTTTCGAATTGTGATGATATAAAAAATATTTTTTTTATATTTATTACATTGTCAATGATAATCTCTTCTAGTAGCTTGAAATCCTGAGCAATGTGTGTTCTTACCAGTTATTAGCCTTTTGGATGCCATTTATATTAGGCAAAACATATTTTTTGTATCATCACATGTTCGAAAATATATTTAGGTGGCCTCACTTAAATGGATCCTGTATAAAATGTATAAATGCTGTAGATATGTTATGAATAGTAAATATAACAGTTTTGTTTATATATATAAATATATATATATATTATTTTATATTATAAACTTTTTTATAAAATATAAAAAACATATATAATTCTGCAACTAAATATTACTGATAATTTTGTAAAATTACAAAAGAATACTAGTAATTATGCTTCTTAAATATAGAATTTAAACGAAAATGAAATACAATAAGTTATCATAACAAAATAACATCATTGACAAAATATAAACATGTAACAAAAAATGTTTTGCATAAAATAAAATTGATAGAACAATTTTTTTTACTTTCTTTACTGTAGAGAATACTAGTCATTTCACTATTATGGTATATATAACATGTAACACATAATATAATATATATTCGGTTTATGATTCATGATTCATGATTCAAATCTTAATTCCTAACATATTCTCGTTTAGTCTGTGTTTTGCTGTGTATAAATGACTGCGAAGATTATTTATGTTATATACTACAACATTACATATCTTACAAGAAATTTTTGTATCTTCAGGTAACTTTGGATTCCTATAATATAAAAAACAACATGAAATAATTGAAATAATCGATAAAATTTAATAAATATTATAGTAATTTACTTACTCAATTGCCAATTCTCGTAAATTCTTTATATTTTCTATAATTTCATGTGTTTCATTTGTTTCTTCCAATTCTAATGCATTATGGAGTCTGTATATACTATTTGTGATCATGGATGTTTTATTAGGTCGAAGTAATAAATTTTCATCATACAAGTTCCAGTTACTAAAATTCTCAATCATTTCAACAGGTCGAGTTTTCCTTTCTTTCTCAATTAATTTCAATAATGCATCTTTTATTCTATTTTGACAAATAATCATTTCTTCCATATTATTGCTGCCGTCAGATCGATAATTAATTTGCATTCCAATATTCATCCAATGACGTAATCTATTTATCTAATAAACAAAAACAACGAAATTAAACAGATTGAAGTTAAAAAAAAAATGCAAATTGCACTTACAAATTGCAAATCATCTATAGTAATTTCAGTGTCAAATTGAAGGTCTATATCATGTTCTGGATAAATACTACTCTTCTTAATAGGATCAAAACCTAATCCACATAACGCACCAATGTAGTAAGTTCCAAAATCATTACGTCGCAATTCCATATATGGCGTAAAAATTAATACAAGTAAAGCAGTTAATCCAGGAAGACGCGGCATTAACGTTGTATTATATAGTATTAAATTGTTACAAGTCGGATTTTGAGAAACAGATGCTGCTACTAAAAGTCGTTGAGAAGTATCTCCAGGATCGGTGTCCAAAAGAACAGAATTTATCGAATTCGTCGCCATTTTCGCATGTTTATCTCTTCCAGCGTTAATAAGATGCATTAATTCAATTTCTAGTGGTGAAAATGGGCCTCGTAATCTTTCTGTTGTATAGCATTCAGACTCTGCAGGTGACTCTGGATAAATATCTGGCATATAGTCTTGATCATATTGTAACTTCTCATAATGATAACACTCTTCGTTCGAGATATTTGATTGTTGCAGTCTTAAATTATGATTAAAGCGTGAAAAATAACCTTCTTCTTTCTTCTTTGCGAACTTTTTTTCAAGAAGACATTTGTTTATACTAATTTCATTTCTTTCATCTTTATGAATTAGCTCCATTATAACCACGCCATTGACGACAGAATAAATTTCACAAAAAAATAAACCGGGTTTGCTAATTAACATACAAAATAAATCACATGCAGCCTGTGACCAATTATCGTAGAAACCTTGTGCCATGAATGGTTGAATGTTTGCCAATCTACATTCAAAAGCTAATGCAGGAATATCAGAAATACCGCTATCGGGCTCCAAATATTTCAAATCGCGCAATGGACATCTGCTTGAATAACCATAATCCATAAAAAAGACTTCTACTAACAGTTCTGGCAATGATGCATAATTTTCTACTATGGCCCGAAGATACACTTTGCGATTATTTTTCTCGTATGGTGCAATTACAATCGTCCCAGTTCCTGGGATCTCTCTCAATGTTCTAAATCCATCGCTTTGCATTTGTTTAATGGTTGATTCTATTTTATTCAGTCTTTTTTTAACTGTAGGATCACGTTTTTGAGCCCAGAAACGACCAGGATTTTCAATCTGAAAATTTAAATTGTTAAATTAATTTAATTGTTTAAATTTAATTGTTTAAATTAATTTAATACTCTGTAGTTACGTTAAAAATACATACATTTCGTATTATCAAAGGAATACGAGATACTCGTAAACTTGGTAATTCAGGTTTGACATTGTCTTTTATCACAATTGTAGGTGTCAAAAAGTGTTTTTTGTATAAGTTCATCTCATCCGCTCGTCTCAAAGCTACATCTTCATTTAAAAGCGGTACTTCTATAGGAATATTAGACTGTCTCATTTTGATTGCTTTGTAAACAAATGGAGATATTTGTTTTGTATTTTGATTTTGTTTCTCAAACTTGTCTTCAACGAATTGAATGTAAACACGAGAAGAACCGTCGAAAGATACGATTACTCTTCCGACAGATGTCAAGTTCTGTTTAAAGATATCTTGAATTCTGCGAGCATACAATAATCCAGGCTGTTTCAGAGGCCATCCTGGCAAATATACTGTTCTTGATGGATCTAATCCACCTAGTAATTTTATTCCCATACGTTCGTTGAATTTATTTTCCATATCGAATGTGTTTTTGATAAAATAATTTGGATAAAATGCACCAGCAATTGCAATTTTTAAAACAAATGGTCGTTCTTCTTCAGTCCAGACAACTTTATTGACGCCGGCGCTTTCTTGTATACCTAATTTTCCCAATCTACTTGTTAATTCGGTTATCAGAGCTTTAACTTCGCGTAACACTCTAATTTGTACAAAATTCCTTGTCGCCCAGTTTTTTTCTTCTGCGTCACTATTTAATCGACGATTAGCTTTTTCAGTAATCCATACTTTATATACATTCATGAAAGCTATACAATCACTGCAAGAATTAGCCGCCCAACTGAGTTTAACATTGTAGGCTAATAATTTTTGTTGGAATGGATTACTAAACATATCTTTTACAGACAAACTAGCTGCGATAATTATTGTATCCTTCAAAACACTAAAAACATGTCCTAACATTATTAATTTCGATAGATGAATATTCAATGGTAGATTAGCCATAACTCGACCAAGATCTGTCAATTCTCCATCAAAAGGTTGTATTTCATTAATCTTATTCAGCAATGCCCCTGTTTCCTTTAATAACAATATCGTTTTTTCCAAATTTCCAAGATCAGGTGGATCAAGAGACAGTGCTAGGATAGCTTTAGGTTCTCCCATGTCCAATAACTTTGATTTGAGAACTACATTTTCTAATGGAGCTCGTAATATTTCAGGTGATACTTCTTGAGTTAAAGTAGTCTATAAATTTTATAAAGTTTACATACATATTTTATATTAACATTGTTATGTTTTGGTTCAGTAATAGAAATTACCTCATAAAATAATTGCGGTACTAATCTATATACTCTACCATCCATTACTCGACCTGTGCGACCTGCTCTTTGTTCGCAATTTACCTTACTCGACCATTTTAATTCTAAGCATTGAAAATTCGTATGTGGATCCGTTACAAGATGTTTTATTAAACAAAAGTCAATTACTAAAAAGAATACAAAGTTGAAGATTGCTGCTTTATAGAAAAATTCTTTTTTACTATAATTCAACAAACCGTATTTTACATCAGGAACAGTAATACTACTTTCAGCAATATTTGTAGATAAAATAAGGCGACGATAACCATAGGGTGGTTTATGAAAAATTCGCTGTTGTTCTTCACTTGTAATTGAGGAATGTAGTATGACTATATCCCATTTACTCTGTTCATGTTTTGGTAAAGACAACAGATTATTAAGTTCTTCAATCTCATTAATTCCTGGTAAAAATACAAGAATCACATGTCTTTCATAAACATTTGTTTCTTGATCATAATTTGCGTCATCAGCTTTCATATCTACGTCATCGAGAACTTTTATAAGATTAACACAGAATTCCATCATTTTTTTCGTAACAGTTGGTTTGCTAGCACAAATTTCAGGTATCTACAACAAAGTAAAAATATAATGTAATAAATACATCTAAAAATATTATAATCTTGAATAGAAATTTGAAACATTTACTGGTCCTAATGCTCCCATTTGGCAAAGGTAATAAATACCAACATTAAAAAAAGTTTTCTTTGGAATGTTAATAATAGGTGCAGAAATAAGTTTATTTCCCACAGGTGATGAAAAATATTTAGCAAATCTTTCAACATCAAATGTAGCAGACATTAATATAACTTTTACTGAACGTGAATTTGTGTGTAGTAATTTTCGAACAACAAGGAGAAGAAAATCCATATCTTGATTCCTTTCATGAACTTCATCGAGTATGACATGTGTATAGTCCAACATATTTTTGCTATTTATCAGTTTATGTAAAAGCACTCCAGTAGTGCAATATGTCAAACGTGTATCTTTACTTGTGTGATTTATTAAACCCACTTGATACCCAACAAGGGTACCCACTGGCCATTCTCTTTCTTGGCTGACACGTTTTGCAATACTTATAGCAGCAATTCTTCTAGGCTGTGTAACTATGAAATGGGATTACACACATTATAAAAAATTCTATGTAAAAGATCAAATCAAATCTTTACAAGTACATAACAGAATTACCTATAATATTGCAATGAAGTTTTTTCTTATAACAAGAATCTAAAATAAATTGTGGTACTTGCGTAGTTTTGCCACAACCAGTTGGTCCTTGAATTACTACAACTGAATTAGTTTCAATCATGGAAACTATCTGATCTCTTTTAGCAGTAACTACTAAATTTGGCTTTGCATGATAAACAAACTGGTATGTTTTGTAAATGTTTAATGTTTCTTCATTTTGCACATCTGTAGGAACTGTTCCTATTGATACAGCTTCAAAATTACTTTGACTGTTTACATTATAGTTTGTATTCTAAAAATACAGTAAATTAAGTAAAATTTTTAGTAATGTTCAATCTCTACATTATTATACCTGCAGAAGTGCTTCCTCTTCTTTTTGTACATATTCTGCTGCATAATCTATTCCTTTTTCTTTGCTTTGTGTAGTTGTATTTTCCAATTGTACATTTTTGAGTATTCGTTTTTTCCGGCTTGTTGGGCCAGGTAATAATTTTCCACAGTTATTATACAAATCAAATGGATCCATTATATATCAGGGATATCAAGGACAATAAATATTTCTGTATTTATAATCTATAATTACATATATATAAAATGTATGTATATACATGTGCATTTAATTTACCCAAAAAAAATTAATTTTATAAAACCCAATTCATACAAATATATTAGTTTGTACCTTGCACTTTGAACACTTCTCTATAAGTTTTAACAATTATTTTTTCGTCGTGAAATGAACGTGCTCCGATTAATCTGAAACACACAGTGTTAAAAACAATGAATTATTGTAATTACGATTGAAATTTTATAATTCTATAATTCAAATCTAAATGAAGTATTGTTACGTTCTTTACCTATCAAATAGTATTGATGTGATTTTAAGTTGTTTTAACTTTCATAAATTAACAACAAAATGAAAAAGTGATGGTTTGAGTTTTTGTTTGTACAGCCCTGTAAAACATAGCGGTTTTTAGAGAACTTTGTTTGACAACACAAGTGTACATTAAGGTATGCATAATGCAGAAAATTATTATAACATATCTATCTCACTAATAAACGTATTTGTCTTATGCGATGTAAATAGTTCTGCCGTGATAAATAATTATGAGTAGTCTCATGTATTGAACTAACAAAAAAGAAATAGAATTTGTACCAGAGATTCTACCTTAATAATCTCAATTGGTATATTTTATTTGAATTTACTAACGAAGTGTCAAGATTATGACATCGATAATCTATATAGAAACAAACTATATAAATATATATCAAGATTTAAGATGAATAATGCACGTGTTATGTTATACTGACGCGAGTTAGCACTTCCATGAATTGGTGGGGATTATGGTGGTCAGTCAATAAGGCAGTAGTATAAACAAACAAATTTAAATATAGATTGTAGATTATCGCAGTTATACTAGCTTTTTACATGAAAATAAATAGGCTTTTTATATATTTCATTTACATTTAATGTTTCTCACTTTAACTCACTTCGTTTAGAACCAAGTACAGTAGAAGAAGAAAACAGGACAGGTTCCAAATTTATCAACTTTTCTAGTAGTGTTAATAAGTAATATGAAAACTGCAAGCAGTAATTCACAATGTGCACAAAAAACGAAGAATATACATTCGCACAAAATGTCTACAATTACAGAAAAGGGGACAATGGATTTGTATGTGGTTGTATATTACAATTCGTTTAAAATCTTATATACAACATTTTTTAATAAAATTTTTGTTACATATTTACATAGGAATTGGTGGATTTTATTTGGTATTATTATAATACTTACAGCAGGGACAAGATTTTACAAAGTTACAGAACCACAACATGTTTGGTAAGAACTCTATAATAAAAAATATCTCTAAATTAAATTTATACTTGACTTGTGGATAAATATTGCATATTTTAGTTGGGATGAAACTCATTTTGGTAAAATGGGAAGTTGGTATATAAATAGAACTTTTTTCTTTGACGTTCATCCACCTCTTGGAAAGGTAAATAACATGTAAGATTTCATTTATGATAATATGTTAAGAATCTATATTATCTTTTAGATGTTAATAGCATTATCTGGATATTTAACTGGATATGACGGAACATTTTCTTTTGAAAAACCAGGAGATAAGTTTGAAAATGTTAAATATGTTGGTATGAGAATTGTAAGTGCATTATAATATTGGATTGTGAAGATTATAAAGATTATTGAACAATGAAAATTTTATAAACATTTTCTATGTTCCAGTTTTGTACATTTTTAGGTGCAACGATAGTTCCTTTATCATATCTTATTGTATGGGACTTAACGAAATCTGTCCAAGCAGCTGCATTTTCTGCACTATTTATCTTATTTGGTATATATTTGGTTTATCACTCACACTTTGTTCATTTAATGAAATAGTTACATTACTAAGTAATTCATGTGTTTTAGATGTGGGATTATTGACATTAAATCAATACATTTTGTTGGATCCTATATTATTATGCTTTATGATGTGTGCAACTTGGGGAATGGCTCGAATAGGTTCTCTTCATGATGAGCCATTTACAGGGAAATGGTGGGGTTGGTTATCATTCACAGGAATTTTTCTTGCTTGTACAATTAGTGTAAAGTTTGTTGGTTTGTTTGTTGTTCTACTAGTTGGATTAAACACTGCCTTTGAATTATGGAGAGAATTGGGAGATCTAACAAAATCTATTGTAAGCTTCTTGCATTTATCAATCGTTTGAAGTTAACAAATTAATTTTATTATTACACCTTTTACAGATAAATGTAGGAAAACATTTGTTAGCACGGTGCATTTGTCTCATTTTTATTCCAGTATTATTATACATGTTATTTTTTTATATTCACCTTTCTGTTTTAAACAAAAGGTAAACGATTTCCTTATTTTATATTTGTACGTTTTAACAAGTATATTAATAATTTGAAATATTTCAGTGGAAGTGGAGATGGATTTTATAGTTCCGAATTCCAATCCTTATTGGAAGGAAATTCTTTGTATAATGCAACGATGCCGCGACAATTAGCTTACGGAGCCACAATTACACTGAAAAACCACAGAACTGGCGGAGGATATTTACATTCGCATTGGCATCTTTATCCAGAAGGTATAGGAGCTAGACAACAACAGGTATTAATTTTGTCAGGTCGTATATTTTGACAAAATATTGATAGATTTTCTTCATTAGATCACGACTTATTCGCATAAAGATGATAATAATTTATGGTTCATAAAAAAATTTGATACTGATGGTATACCATCGGAGCCAATGTTAGTAAAACATGGTGATCTCATACGCTTGGAACATGTTATTACTCATCGAAATTTGCATTCGCATAAAGAGATCGCTCCTATTTCGAAAAAGCACTATCAAGTTACAGGATATGGCGAAGTAAGTCCATCTTCTTCAAATTCTTAATTTTAATTATGTAATCATGTATTTTTATTTTTTATTTTTTTTTTTTTTAGAATGGCACTGGTGATGCTAACGATGTATGGAAGATTTTAATAGCAAACGGCAAAGACGGCGATATAGTTCAAACCGTAACGAGTAAATTAAAATTTGTACATTATCTACACCATTGCGTTTTAACATGCAGCGGTAAAACATTGCCGAAGTGGTTAGTTGTGAAACTCTGTGTTTTCAAATGAAGAAGAGTGACGAAAAATTTGACAGAAATTATAATTTTTTTAGGGCGTATAATCAACAAGAAGTTTCCTGTAACCCAAATATGAGAGATAAGAATGCATTTTGGAACATTGAAGACAATAATTATGCAAAATGTTAGTATTATCATAATTGTTAGTATTATCATTATCAATGTATATAGTATTCTATTAATTTTTTTTTCTAGTACCAAACGTCAGTTTTCAAGTATATGCACCTGGATTCTTAGATAGGTTCCTAGAGTCACATGCAGTAATGTTGCAAGGAAATTCTGATTTAAAAGTTAAGGAAGGGGAAGTGTCATCGCGTCCTTGGCAATGGCCTATTAATTATAGGGTAGGTTACATTATTTTAAATAGTAGAAAAATATAATTCAGTCATTCAAATTTTGCAGGGCCAGTTCTTCTCTGGGAACAGTTTGAGGATATATCTACTTGGTAATCCAATCATTTGGTGGAGCAATATTGTATTTTTAATACTTTTTATCTTGCTGTACACTCACGCCCGTGTACGGCAACAACGTGGTTGTGTAGAAACTCCTGCTGTCCTCGAACAAAGAGATAAAATATTAAATGCAGGAAAATGGCTTTTTATCGGTTGGATACTCCATTACGCGCCATTCTGGGCAATGAGTAGAGTTTTATATTTCCATCATTATTTCCCAGCTCTATTATACAGTTCAATGTTAAGTGGAACAACTTTAAATTACATTATCGAAAATATAATCATTTTATTTCCAAATAAAATTGGAAATTTTATATATCATACAATAGTAGGAGTTGTTATTTCAAGTACCATATACAGGCAAGTATACAACACAATTGACTAATAAGTAATTGTTTAACGAAGTAATTATATACGTATTATTTATTCATATTATTTAGTTTCTATTTGTTTTCTCCATTGGCTTATGGCATGGTTGGTCCTTCTTCATTGGATCCTGAGAGCCCAATGCACTCTTTAAGATGGATGGATACTTGGGAATTTTAACGAAAACTGAAGTATTTTGATTTTTTTTAATTTATAAGAAAGTACTATAAAGAAATATTATATAGAAATACAGTTATCAGCAAAATATGAGGAATCTATGACTTATACATATTAATAAATTTATATATATATATATATACATATATAAAAGATATTTTATAAAATTTCTCTTTAATTTCCATCCTCAATTACAAAATTATGCAAATAACATTCTTTTTTTTGTATATTTTTTTTAAATTTTTATTAAAGGGTAATTACATCGTAAACGATCTTTTAAAAGAAATCATGCCACCACGAAAGCGGAACGCTATACGAACACCCACGATGTCTAGCCGTAGTAAAAGAAGGTTTCGAGTAAGCGTGGTCTGCTCAGCTGATCGACCCACGTGTTAGAGTTACGCCTCCTCAATTGCGACACCGTCTCAATTCTTCGTACGCTCCCGATTAAGAAGAAATCTTGGCACATAAGAATTCTCTCTCCTTATCTCTCGAGATTACCCGATCTAGTAAAATCAGGACGTCGAGTCCACATTCACGTCAAGTAAAATCCCTCGTTACAAACGTGTGTCTAACCGGTGAATGGTAGCGCGAATCTTTTCGCGGTAAACGATCAATAAAGAGCTCCCGGGGATTTTCAGTCTGTTCAGAGCGACCGCGAACGCACTCTCACGTGAGATCAGGAATAGCTGTCAGGGTGACCACGTGTCCTTACGAGTATCCGGTACGTGTTCTCGTGCTTATGTGTGCGTCTAAAACCGCATGACTAATCTTATCGATGATCCACCAAAAAAAAACACATACACACACACAAAACGACCGAGTCTAGTGAGGTTCTAGCTTCGACACCCAAGGGTCTTGTTTCTTCCTAGATCCGCGTTACGTTAGACTGCAAAAATCGCGCGAAATTAAAAGCATCTGTCTCCGTGCGTGTGTGTGTGCGTGTTTGAAAATCTCGTTAGTAACAGTGTCGGGCGGTATGCGACAGAATTTGATCAACCAGTGGGGTAGTTGGTCGTTGTTTCAACTAACGTTGTCGAAAATATCCGATTAGCGATGATGGTAAAATTCGCGCGCGCTCGTTTCAATTGGCTGACAAGTTCATCCGCGGACGAAGTGATTTAAAAGTGTTCATTGTTTAGAAACACTTGTTGCTGCACCGAGCCAAAGATAATCAGAACAGTTTCAACTTTATTCGTCTTGACTCACCAGCCGGCATTGTTCCTTCTGTAAACGTAATTGTATCTCGGTCCCCCCATGTGAAACATGTGTGAAACGTTACGAACGACGCTCGTAACGACGTTAATCGGATGCAAACGTGTAGGTGGTGCATTGACACGCAGACACGTGACACTACACACGTATTTAATTGCCATATTGCTCTCGCATTACACTTATTTTAAACTTCGTCCATTACGTTTACTTTTTCAACGCTTGGATATAATGTATCCATGAGAGTCTGAACCGAGACTGTGAAACTTAATTAATCTCGCCCCCCTCCTCTGTTTTGCCGTTTTAAACAAACGATTGATCGTACGTGCAAAGTGATACTAAGTGAAATACAATCTTCAAATTATTCACATCTATCGTGCAACGTGTTCGCAAGTGGTTCGAACGTGTTATAATAGCTCGGCTAACTATTAAAGCCTAATTGACGAGCGGTCGCGTTATAGGAAATCAATTTTCCATGCATTATTTAACAGATTCGCTCGATCATCACAATGGTCGTGTAACTTGTTTCGCAAATGCATTTTTACGACTTTTGTTTGTACCTTTCAATAATTTCCTCTTAGATAATATTTTCTGCTATTGGCTCGTGCGTCATCCGCGATAAATCGTAAATTAAAACGTTAAAAATTTCTTGGTATTGGAGATAATGTTTTCCACGAGTGATGAGTTCTGTATCGCGGCGCGGAAACGCATTCGTGCAATCTGTCGCTATCTTGCAAGCGCAGGAAGCGCGGGAATTGGCAGTGGAATTTGACCTAGTTGGTCACGCGTATTGCGCGAATCTTCTTCAACATCCCGAGCTTCGTAAAAGATAGCTGCGAAGGTGTAACTTCTGTTACTTAATCCCCCCCTAATTTCTCGCGAATTAACACGAGTTGAAATATTTCCTCATTTATCGTCAAGACCTTATTCAGTAATCTTACCATCTCCAATCTGACTCTAAGGAATCGTGGCTTAAATAAATTTTTAACAATCTTACGATTCAAAAGGGGGGGGGGGGGCGATTACAATTGAAAGGGCAGATGCTAAAGCATGTTTCAATTTCTTTTTTTTTTTTTTTTTAACAGGATATCTTTGCCGATCAGTCGAAGAAGTAGCTTGTTATGAGGCGAATCGCAGGATCTATAATATGCGAGATACCGTACTAGCCATTTCGTTTGCATGGATCCTCGCGATAGAACGATGCCTGGGCGGCAAATTGGAACGGTTTGCTCATCGACCCAACAACGTTCTCGACGACTATTACGCCTATCGTCACATCTCCATTATCCACTTCAATGTCCCGGATTGCACGGTCACCGCAGGATTCAAGTAAACTTCGCGAATAATACAGAAAAGCGGCTGTGATCACTATGAATTGCGTTCAATCAACTGTAACTATATATATATATATATATATATATATATATATATATATATGTCGTATATTTATAGGTTCACTGTAAAAGAAGAAAAGATCGGAGGGATAGGTAGATGCTCGGCTAGAAACGTTTCCGTGTTCCTGAAATCCGGTAGCTTGCCGTTCGTGCGGCCGGATGGATCAAAGATCGCGGCGAAACTTATGAAAGGGAGACGACGGTACTATGCCCTGGACATGGAAAGCAACGGGGATGAATACATGATAAGAATCGACGCACCCGCGCCGGGCGATTGGTACGCCATCGCGTTTCGATCCTGGAGCGATCCCGACAATGGGAAGATCACGCAACAAGGTTGATCATTCAGTGAAAGACAAAGATTGAAAGACAAATGATTTGATATTAACATTAAATAAAAACGTTTGATATTAAATGTTAATTTAATATAAAATAATTTAATATTTAATTTATATTTATATATTATATATTTAAATATAATATTATTATATTTAATATTAATATTAATATTAATATTCATAAATATAAATATTTAAAATTTAACAAACATTATATTATATTATACTATATTTGTATTATAATATAATTTATTATTATTATATTATAATATAATTATAATATAATATATTACATTTTAACATTAATATTAAATATAAACATTTTCAGGACTCGGAGCATCGTGCGACACCGTACTGGACGCAGAATTGCTCTTGGAGTTTGCCTCTATAATTTCGCCAATGGACCCGAAATTGGAATACGAGGTGCATATGAACGAGAGCGTGGACTCGGCGGTGATGCAGCTGTTCATCCCCGACGAGTTCGTGGACTCCAGTTTGTCGTTGAAGTCGACCTGCGGCGAAGAATGTCGGATCGCGGTTCACGTGATCGCGGAGGATCATCTGGCAGGAATGATAATGAACACGACGAACGCCACCGTATTCTTCAAGCCGTATTCGGACGCGTTTCACTATGTCACCCTTCGGTTGCTCTCCGGTGAATCCTCGAACGTGTCCCTGCAGTTTCTCGATAACTCCGCCGCGCACGACTCGGGCCAAGTGAAGTCCGTGGATTTGATGAGGAAGTCGTTGCCCGATTTCTTCCTCTTCGATTACGAGCACCTGCGTGGGAACAGTACAAAGCCGTCGGCGTTCAATCTGACCTCAGACACCTTGTCCGTCCTCAGTTTCGAAATTGGTCGAGTGTACGACGTCGGCGGGACATTGACCCTTGGGTTGAAGCTAGTCGACGTGAAAGAGAAAGAGAAAAAGAGCATTATTGTGATCGCGTGCATTTCATTAGGTGAGCAATTGAAAGTTATAACATAACAAAGGTCGGTCATTGTCAAATTGTAAGTTAAAAGAAATCTGATCTACCAGGCTATTACTCGAACATTACTGCCGGCGGAGGCTGCACTCGTATGGAGAACACGACAGCTGCGGACATTTACGTGAACTACACAGGTCCAGCCACCCTTCACATTCCATTCCCGGAACCAGGAATCTGGCACATAAGTCTGAGAGCGTTCTGCTTGGAAGAAAACTGCCATTGTGCCGCAACCTGCCTGAACGGGACCGCCTGCGAGGACTGCGACTGCATGAACCCCTGCAACACCAAGGTGGAGAGCCGTATCTCTTCTTTACCTTGCATCGAAGGTCGCTGCAACTCTCACGGCAAGTGTATGCATTACATGAGCGGCGGCTTTGTGTTCGCCGCGTGTCACTGTTCAGGCGCTTACAGAGGCTTCGACTGCGCGGACGACACGTATGTCCTCAGCAACAGCGACATAATAGTCCGGGTGCTGTTGCTAACGTTCAGCAACCTGGCGTTCATCGGCTCCGTTTACGTGGCCGTTCGTCGGGAATATTTCACGGAAGCGATCGTTTACGCTGCCGTGATGTTTTTCTCGACGTTCTATCATGCCTGCGAGGCCGGCGAGGACGTGTACAGCGTGTGCATCATGAGACTGAGCGTTTTGCAGTTCTGCGACTTCTTCAACGCGCTCTTGTCCATTTGGGTGACGCTGGTAGCAATGGCATCGTTCGGGCCGAAGCTCACCGCTTTCTGTCAGATAACCGGAGCCGTCATCCTCGCTATGAGCGCCGAAATGGATCGGACAGCCCTTTGGGTGTTTCTTCTGCCAGCTATAACCGGCTCTGCGCTCATCGGCCTGTCCTGGGGCATGAGGTGCAAAAGGAGAGGGACGGTTCGCTATCCGTCGCGTCCTTACAGGCAAGTCTCGAGTCTTTTTTTTTTTTTTCTAAAACTCACGAAGCTCGATCGAATTATATTTAGAAGAAAAATGTCCCCTGTTCATGTTCGCAGAAGCATTTATTTTCCGGCTGGTCTACTTCTAGTTTCCCTCGGTCTCGTTTGTTACGCCTTTCTGCAGACAAGAAGGAATTACTATATCGTGCACAGTTTCTGGCACGTGTGCGTCGCTATAGGAGCTATACTCCTTCTACCGAAGCGGCAATACATGAAATGATTGTTATATAAAAATACGTTGTCTCGTACGTGAAATGAATGTTATTGAGAGAGAGAGAGAGAGAGAGAGAAAAAAGAAAGTGTTATCGTCTCTCGAGGAGAGACTCTCGTTGCCAATTTAATGAAAGAAACAGGTACAAAACAGAATATTTGTAGCAATCGACGGTGCTCGTAGGCGACGATACATCGAACGTAATATATTATAATATAATTATTCAGAGATCTTATTCTTGTAAAAGTCGAGTAATATTTACAAAATAGGTAATTGTTCAACTATCAAATGCATGTTGTCAAGCAATATGAATTTCACGAAAGTATTAATTGTATCGATGTTATCTGTCGTTACACTTAATTATCGCGCAATTAGATAGCTCGAGACATGTTTTTTTCTTGAAAATATTACGCTTGAAAATATTGCTTGCGTTTGTTGAATTTATTGATGTATTTACTAAATCGATATCGCTTTGACAATGCGTTCAACGAAGATTTATGTAGATTTAAGTATTTCGCTTAAGGACCAAAGAACTTCTAGGATAGAATATAACAGAGAAAGCCACTATTTTTTTCGTCAAAAAAAAAAATGAAATTGCATTTTGGTAACGTGAATTGTATCATAGTGCATCTATCTAATTAACAAATGAACTCGTCGAGAATTCTCTCGATGCTTGTTATGTTCCAATTCGAATATATATCGACGGCTCGATATCAATGTCTAACATTATTATTGTGATTTTAGAATATTCACATTAATTCTCTCGTCTTAGGAATCAAAACCCTCGCACGCGAGTCACATATGTATATTTTAATGGAAGAAAAGAACTCTATTTATATACGCTCTGAAAGATATTGTATCTAGAGATAGATACAGTGTGCAGCAACTCAGTTGTACACTGAGAGATAAGAAATCGTTACGCCGTGTAACTCCGTACGGTCCTGTTTTGTCTTACACGAAGATCGTGTAAACTGACAAGAGTGTACGCCGAAGGAAAGTATATACGCTAAACTGCGCGAACCAACGACTCCCGTCAGCACTCTTTGCGTGGGAAACAATTTCACTTTTCTTGGTTCGCACGTGTGTAAAATCAAATAAACGTGAAACGAGATCTGTTGCAATTTGTCCTTTTCTTTTTTTTCTTTCTTTCTTTCTTCTTCCAATCCAGTGTCTGAAAATCGTTTCAAACAGGATGCTCTGTTTGCATTAGACAGAAATTTCGACCCTTGTCGATACAATTACAACGTCCCAGTCCCCGTGGGCGCCGTGGTCAGTCCTGTATTAATCGCCGCGACGGCGGTGATCACGTTCGACAACAGGGACATCATAGTTTCCATGGAGAATCCGCAATGTGGGTACGTCCGCGAACAGTTTCGACCGGCTCTGCCTGCTTCCACCGCCTCCTGTATCGCGGTTCCCTCCATAGCTGTTCGGAAAATCTGATTCGTCGTGATTGTATCGATTACGCGGTCGAACGACGAGACCCTCTCGTCGTCGTCCAACTTGCTGGCCTCTTTCATCGACGAGGAGGCCTGCTGCGAATAGGTACAGACAGCGCGTTGCATGCAGGATGTCGTGTCGATACCGTGATGAGCCAGAACGTCGTCCATTTTCGTCACGATCTGCGTGAAACCGCTCTCCTCGCCTGGAAACGGAGATTATCATTAGCGAAACATCAACGCGACAATTGTTCTTTCAAACGGAGCTGCCTTACTTCTTGCGTAATGGCCGTAGGTGCCAGAAAGGACGTAGAGCAGCTTAGGTATGATGAGAATGGATCCTATCCCTATGATAGCGCCCAGGAATAATCCTCCCAAGTCTATTTTCGCTGGAGCGTACGTTGATACTCCGTAACCCTGTGTCCATTTCAATTATATTTATATTAATGTATTGATATTGATATTTATATTAATATAATATAAATTATATTGTATTATATTAATGTATTGACATTTATATTTATATTAATATAATATAAATTATATTGTATTATATTAATGTATTGACATTTATATTTATATTAATATAATGTATTGATATTTACATTATAATTTATATTCATAAGGAGCGAGATTTGATAAGAATCTGGACTGACTTACACTTCCTGTGCTACCAAGATTCGTGAATCCAAATCGAGCTTCTTGGCTGCGATCCGTGATATCGTTATTGTCCACGTCGCTCCGGCTCGTCGATGTCTCGCTGCGCAGCTTCGGTTCGGAGGGCATGGCTATCTGGTCATGGGACTTTCCATTCTTCTCCAAATATATCATGGAACTCGGTACAAACCTAATGTATTTCAACTCGATTTGAGTGAGATATGTCGTACGAATTCGGGAAAAAGACTCGGATCTTACCCTCCGTCGTCGAATTTCGGACTGCCTCCGACAATTGCCATCGAGGATAATAGCAACAGGACGAGGTCTCGAACATTGAACGACATCTACGACAAAGAAATTTTTTAAACAAGAGAGAGAGAGAGAGAGAGATGTTACGTCTCACTGTGAATGATTCGCCTCCACGTACAAACGCGTAAGCATTTTTACCTTAAAGTGAAACGCGAAGAGCAAACTAATTTTCGAGGACGTGTCATAGACGAAGTTTGGTTTTGAAGGAACTGAAGGATACGAGCATTGTCCCTGGCATATATAGCCGTGCACCTACTCCGAATCGTCACGACATGACAGACCATGGACATAATTGGAACCGGTGGTTTCGCTTTCATTGTTAGATTTCCATGGGACGCTATCACGGTCCCGTGACTCGTCCGTTTCTTCTGAAGAGGCAACAGGACGTTAAACTGTCGCTGCGAGTCATTGTCGTCGAGCCTGATCTTTCACAAGATCGATAAGGATCTTTTGAACGCGTTCGACCATCTCTTCCTGATGGCTCCTCGTGATTCTTCGCGTCTCATTGCAAAAGAATCAATTTGTCACGAGAAGATCAATTGGTACATAGCATGCGAACGTTGTCTATTTACTTTCAACACTGTCGTCCTTTATTTTTATCTAGTTTTGTTCATTGAAGCTCGTGACGATGATCTTGCAACTGAAGTGAAAAGGAATTATTTATTATTAAAAACGGAAAAAAGAGGGAAAAGAAACGGCGGAAACGCCATGAAATTGACATGCCATATGTACGTTTTGCGACTATGCGTTCGCCGTCTACCTGGCTTCGAGACAAGGAATTCGTTCTGCAGGTTGCTCTGGAAAATTCACGAAAGTCGAGTCACGAGCGTGCACTAACAAACCTCACGTATGAATGCGCGCACGAATTAAAAAAGAAAAAAAAAAAATCAGCGTCTCTCGATCGTGTTATCGTCCCAATCTCGACGAGTCTGTCGTTTTAATCTCAACGAGGAGAGCGAGAAGAGATCTGTCGATGATGATAATTCGAATCATCACGCTTCGAATCATCTTTGAATCGCGGGGAAAGGCGAAAGAGTAGTCCCTCGAGTCAGACTACTTTTTTTTTTTTTTTTTTTGCGAAAACAATGAAAACGCGAGGGCACACGTAATTGCGAAACTTGTCGGCTTCTTCGCGCGAATATGCGGAATTAGGCGTGACGATGACCAGCGTAACAGCTGTGGCGACAGTGTGCCGTTTCGCGACAGTAATTTAACCAGAATTCTCTCTCACTCGGGCTCGTTAATTCCGCTCGTGAAAACAGAGTTTCCTAGTTGACGAGTGGTGGACTGTGTACAAAAACTGCCAGCAAGGATCAAGGATTCGTCACATGTGTTTCTGTGTTCGCTCCAATTAGGCGATTTGCTTGTTTTTCCGTATCTACCGTAAGTGAAACAAAACTGTTTCTATTGCCAACAATTTGCCAATAATTTGCTCGAATTGCTTGCAATTACTTGCACCGAAACCAGTTCTTACCACTCGTTACGGATCAACTTTCCTTTCCGGCAGAGAGAATGAAGATCATGAGAAACTCGTTCAAACGCTCCGTCACGTTGTTGCTGTGTTGTTTGCTGCATCTTTCCGAGTCGAAGGACAGTGTCAACGGAAAAACGAAAACTTCGAGGGCACAGGGTGCAAAGGTGTTTGGAAAATATCCAAGCGGCGGGCTGATCTCTTTCAACCCAGGTCACGAGTTGCTTCGCGTAAGTTTGAAGAGAGTCGAGTAATTTTCAAGTAACTTTCGCTCTCGATCTAGACAGAATCAATTCACAGATTGACTGGGACGTGTCGATTCCCTTCATTTCGATACCACTCGAGTACAAAATTGGGGAGAACGGCGAGGTCCCGGCATTGTTCAACATTAACACGAAATCCCTTGGAATTGTTGGATTAATAGTCAGCCTGTTAGGCGTTGTTTCGCCGCTGTTCTCGAAAACAACGCATCCGCAATACAATTACCGTAAGTAAATCATGTCACGATCCCTTAGATTCACTAATATGATACTTTAGTATTTTATTATTCTTCTGTTAGGTGTTCTATAATTTTTCTATTGTGTGCAATATTAGGCTCGGTGGATAATGATGGCGTGCAATGGTCGCAAATGGGAAACACCATCAATGAAATGATGTTTAACAATGACTACGTGGCCCCGTGTATGCAACGTGTCGTCTGTTCGATCGTTTCAGTGGCCGCGCACTCGGAGAATCCAACGAGCACAGATAAAATAATCGATGGATTGTCGAGGTAAAGTTGACATGCTACGAAAACGTTTTGATGCGTTAAACTAATTGATCAATTGCAGTCATAGCTGGTTCAAAGGTGTCACAAATGGCACGATCATTGAAGATGCTGTGACCACCGGACGAAAGGCAGGTCATGATTGCGCTCGCATTTACAAGGATTGTTTAATAACGCCGAAACTTTTGAAAAGTATGATGAGCGAGTTTGGGATAATGTAATGTAACGACGACGAACGTGTACAGATATAAAAGGGAAATATTTCTTTGCATAGAAACGAATAAATCCAACGTTGGTTTTCTCCTTCACACTTTAAAACTCTAAACACCCTACCGTTGCCCAAGGATATATGTTATTATTCTGACTCGCGTCGTATGAAATATCTCCACGTGCACACGCTTCATGATTCCAGACATAATCACCGTCACTTTAGACTTTCACTTTTCGTCGACTATTGTATGAAATGCCTAACGACTGTTCTGCGACAAATTAACGTATTTACGTGGTCTGCCGCAATCATATTATTCCAACTAGAACGAGAATACAATACAAGAATAAAGATGTCCATTTCTAGATTGTTGCGCTTAACACACACGCACATACACACACACAGGTACGCAGGTTTTATTTTCATTCTGTTCATGCGATTTCTCGGATAAAATTGCGCTATTGTGACTACGGGGGGGGGGGGGGGTGGCTGACAGACTGTTTCACTTTCATCTCGAAGTTTCCTCTGTAATTAGCGTAGAGTTCGGGCAACTGGCCGATGACAGAATATTCGCTGCATCTGCGGCGCCCGACACTTTCGCAAGATCGTGCGGCGATTGACTAGTCTTGTCGAGGCATCCCGTCTCCACGTTTTGGTCCAACAAAAACTCGAGGACCTGCGTCTTGTTGTGCAGCGCGGCGAAATGCAACGGCGTCCTGCCAGAAAAGTCCTTCTGCGAAAGGTCAGCGTTCGCCAATTTGTACGATTTCAAACGCTTCAGGTTCCCAACAGCTGCCGCCGCGCACATTTTCTCCCCAATCGCGTACGCGCTTCCGTGCAAATGCGCCCCGCACTGCATCAGAATCTTAATGACCTGGAAAATCGAAATAGAAATATAACACAGACATGGAACGAACATGATGCACGATGTTGTTTACCTCGTGATGATCGAACTCTATCGCGTCGATGAGAGGTGTACGATTGAATCGATCTTTAATGTGAACATTGGCGCCCATTCGTAAAAGACAGCGAACGATATTTAAGTCACCCTCGCAGCAAGCGATGTGCATTGCCGTACGACCATCTGCATTTTGTTGCGATATGTCCGCGCCCTAGAATAGAAGTTGTACGTTGAAGTTACTTACACCGTGTGTGAAAGTTGCGTGTCGCGCGAGAAACGGCTTAATTACACGTGCTTACGTATCCCTTCAAGACCTCGAGTTTCACGATATCGCGGCTCAGCACCGCGGCGTTTAACATCGCAGGGAAAAGAATCGATCCTAATTCCTGACGTTCAGCGGTCGAGGAGAGCCTGAGAGATCTTGCAACCGCCTCGACGAGATCCAGATCCTCGTGACGCGGCGGTCGTCCCGCGGTTAATTCCCCGCGGAGATTCGTCTGCATCATTTCGAGCTTCGTTTGTAAATCCCACTCTGTCTTCGATAACACGTAAGCGAGTTTGGTCAGCGCTGCTTCAGGCGTCATGTCGAACCCCGATATTATACCTGTTTTTTTTTTTTTTTTTTTTTTTCAAAGTTTTCAAAGCTTTAGAATCGCAAAATTTCAAATCCGACATGGGAGATGTATGTTATATCGTGCGAGATTATTTTTCAAATAATTTCTATACTGCACCAGCATCGTCCAGCAATTTCCCAGAGGCGTACGTATTCGTAACGCAGCCTGTCGCGCATTGTGTGATATTGACAACGATGATACCGCATTTCGTGGCCGCGGAAAGTTCTTTAATTATGTCCTCCCGATTCATGGGCACGTTCCCCGCTCCGTAGGATTGCAGCACAACGCCTTCGATCGGGGGTTGTAGAAACGCCTTTATCAAGTGTGTCGTCATACTTGGAAATATCCGCAGCAGTCCGACATTCCTGTTCAAGGACGTGTGCACGTGAAACTTTTCCAACGTGCACGGTCGAAATATTGCCCGATAATCCACTGCAATGCAGACGTACACTACATATGAGCGACGTTGATAAAACGTCGTGACGTGCATTGAACGCATTCTTAAATTACAAACGGCTCGCGTATGTTAATGCATTTCCTCTTTAACTACGTTCTCAGCACGTTAATAACCAAGCTTCGTAGCGAAGCTTGACACACAAAACGTGTCACAATGAATTAACGCATGTGCACGAACGTGTTAACGCCAGTATCATATATATTATGATACCGGTAATATAAACGTAGATTTCATCATGGAGATAATACTATTTTCTACGAATTACGCTATCGTTACATCTATCGATTTGCGCTTAGAGGTCGATTTAACGGTGAGAAGTATATATTGCTATCCGCGAAAGCAAACGATCCGCACGAAACGAGTAAAACCACAGTCAATTAACGGGAACTGCATCCCGTAATTGGGTCAACTGCTAACCTTCTATCTTGATATTGGCCTTGGCCAATGGCGGAAAATTCGGCGAATCGAACGCCTCGAACGATGTGGCTGATACTTTGCAGGTACGGTTCCCTCTCATCAAATTTGTCCCGAAGTACACGCACACTTCCGGTATGTTGTAATTTGCGGCTATTATTAGCGACGACAGAAAGTTGTCCAAACCGTCACTTCTGCTGTCGAAAATCGGGACCTGGGAGCCGGTTAAAATAACTATCTTGCCCAAAGATTCGAGCATAAAAGAGAGGGCAGACGCCGTGTAACTTAACGTGTCCGTTCCATGTAGAATGACAAATCCGTCGAAATGTTCATAAGCCAGCTGGAAAAGCAAAATATACTGAACGCGAAATCTTTCTCGAAATGTCATGCAAAATATAAAATATAATCAACAAGTGCTGCGAGCACTTTAACGTGAACTGTAGTTGTGACATCTCTGCACTATGTTCTAATTTCATTTACATGCATTCATGTTCCTCTCATTCATTTGCATACATTCCCGAAACGAGTCCTATGAATACATATGCCTTTGATTAGATCATAACGTAGTATGTATCTCCAGTTACGTGTCCATTTATATAAAGTCCATTTATATATTTTACCTTAATATCATCAGCGATACGAATCCAATCGTCCATTGTCATGTTACTAGAATCACAGAGCGGCGAGTATTCCAATACGTTATAAATAACACGTCTGCTGTCGGTCGCGGTCATTCTTCAAAGAAAAATCAAATGAAAACAAATGTCTATCTATTAGTTTGTCTTGAGAATTCATGGAGATTATTTAATTTCTCCAGACGTGCGAATCATTAGCTTCATTATGCACTTACGGAAGTACCAATGGTCCCATCAATCCGAATCGTGCTTCCGCGTATTCTCGGTCGTACATGTGCGGATAATTTCGTAGCTTTTTCACGAAAGCGTTCGCTTTAGGTACGAGAGCTATAACAAAACATATTCATTATATTTACAGCTTCCTAATTGGACCCTACTGCAATCACGATTCGACGTAAAGAAGAAATAGAAGCGCATTACCTCCGTTTTCATTTCTAATCATTCCGATGGTACCGCCGGTATAAAGAACGAGCACACGACTTTCACGGACACTTTCAGTGATCAAAGAACCAGAACTATTGTTCCTCAGGTGCTCCATGTTGTTTTCTTTGTGATTATCAACGTGGTTCACCAGGTGCAACATATTTGAAATTGACTGTGACATTGAGCGTGCTCCACGTATCGTAATCAAACGTTATCGCTGCGAGGTCTCTACGAAGAGTGATTTGTTATACAATTCCTACGGGTCGTATGTGACTAGTGAACTGAGATTTCCACACACGTGTTTTCCCAATCAACGTGAAACATGGAGATTGACGCCACTGCGGATGAATTAATTCAAAATAAACATACACATGTCACGTGTTTTACACTTTATGTTCGAAATAGAGAAGAAACATTTAATGCGCTAAATGAACGATGAACATCTTCGTATTAAAAGAGAATTACATCGCCAACTATTATCTATAGTTTAAGCAATGTTTATTAAATCTGTAATTTAATACACGCGTTTATTGACCTTAGATAACACTATGTCAACAGCGATTTCTATCGTCGTTTTATCACGCTGATTTTTATGACATTTTTCTCCGTCGCTCTTTTTAAGAAAAGTCAATTTTGAAAAAAAGAGAATTCAAACTTTCAGCTTTGAACATTTTCTTTTTTTTTTTTTTTTTTTTATTTCGACTGTTAAAACTCGCTTGAACTTCTTTCGATATTTAATTTTGTATAATTATATCACTGGGAATACAATTTTTGTAAATGCAACTGGACGATACGTAGTTTTAAAACCTTGTATCGACACATTCGTGCCTCTTAACGATCTTCAAATCTCGGATTTCGTGTTCTAAAAAGATGCTTAAAATGCTTTAAAACTGACTGTTTAAAATAAAATCAATAGTTAACAAATACCTTGGGTTCCATTAGCTGGTTAAAACGTTCCTTAATTATATCGTATGTAACCAGAATTAACGACCCGCAAACAGCGCTTATTAAATTAGCAGAGACGCCTCTATAAAAACCAACCGAGCCGTCTTTCTCTATGATAGTACTGATCTGACGAAATATCGAATTGTCGTGCTCGTTAGAAACGAATCTATAGAAAATTTCCATTTTAATTTAGAATTCTTTACAGACCACTTGACGCGCCGACACGTAATTTCCTGCTTCGCGTCCGCTCCAAAGCATTTTTTGTCTGGATATCGTGTCCAAGGGATAGGATACAATTAACGCGAGATAAGACGCTAACTGAGCAATAGTCAGTGATATCAAAAATGGCGCGCTTCCTGTCGGAGGATCGGTTGCATAATTGTTCATATATCCTCGTTTACCAACTATATATGCACCAAAGTAAATGGACCTGCAAAGTTCATTCTAAATTTTTCATCCACGTAGCCCGAAAGAATAATTTCATCGTTGAGAATAATTCGTCGTGAAACAAATTATCTCGAAGTAGAATTTCAAAAGTAATTGCGTATCCGCCGAGAATATTTTAATTTGTACATTCGCACGATATTTTAACTGATGAAATGATGAATTTTACTTGAAACCTGTACAAAGACAGCCCGCACATCGAGAGGGTCATCCCTCGATAAAATCCTCTGTAGCCGTCGCTTTTGTAAATTTTACTTATGCAGTCGTTGAGCCCGTGGAATTCTCTCTTAATTATATTGTTATCACCGACGTCTACAGTTATTCGAGTATTGCAGAAATGAAGGGGGTAAAGAATTGTGCAGGAGGTGCAGCCGACGGCACCGCCGGACAAGAATGGCGCAACGATGTGACTGCAACTCGTCTTCGGTCCAAGCATCTACGCAACACTGTACGATGTTTACGCGCGTAAATTTGAAAGAAGGACGCATGAAAAATGGATAATCTCGTTGATAACCTGTCGGACGAACTTTTTGAAAGATCTCGTAGTAGAGATTGTAAAAGGAAAAGTTAATCGCTTGGGCTGGAAAATATCGGCAGATATTGAGAAGATTCCCGCGCCACAAAGACGCGAACCCCTGCTCCTTGGGTATTCTAACAAGTGCGTTTAAAATGCCAGAGTATGCGGATCGTTTCCCGTGTCCTATTTGATGGCTACTCGCTTGTGTCTGTAAAATTAATTTAACCCTTTCCACTGGCGCGGTCACAGTTCTAAATATGACTGCCAAGATCCCGGAAATGATGAAGGAAGCACCGAAGTCAACGGCGACGTGTAACCGAGTGTCCAATCCGAGTAATTTGACGTCGATCGCAGAATCAGATTGCCATATATACTTTGCGTTTTGATCCTCCATTGATACTGTTTTAATAAAAACACACGTTTGTCTATCTTTTCTAAGATCTTCTAAGATCACGTTGTTTATCATAATATCGGTTTGCTCGTCAGGTGAAACAAATTAACCAATACACGTATGTATATTAGACTAACTTCGTTCCATCAAATTTCAATTTTTGAACCGTGGATTAATCCGCGAACCAATAACAAACAATGCAGTTCCAATGAGCGACCAATCATTTTGCAAAATGATCGTTTTATCGTAAATCGAATGCAACTGTAATGTAACGTGCTCGATAAGACATGGTTGGCGATGTTCAATATGGCTGGAAGTGACATAAAGGAGAGACTCGAGGCTTATAGACGGCGTAGACAAAGGGAAGAAATGACAGAATCTATTAAAAATGCGATAAAAACTGTCTTACCGTGGAATAGAATTAAATCGGCTGAAGATTCTTCAGTGGCAGCACCATTGATACCCGATGTCAAGGTAGGGTTATGTTACGCATGACGTAAAGATACATTGAATGTTACTAGCTGTGTTACGTAGACGTGTTTTATGCAGTGTAAATATTGTCGTAAAATATCATTAATATTGACAATGCTCGACAAATGCATTTATATAAATAATGGAAATAATACATATTGTACAATTTATACAACAGATATAGTATGATTAAGAATAAGAAGGTTGCAGGATAACCAGGATGTGGAAAGTACCTGTTCAGATGATAGTGTAGAGCAATCACAGTATACAGTATTAAAAATAATAACGTATCTACTGTATTTTCTTTTATGGGGCACCTTATATATAATTGCAATTGAATATGAATTTGGAGCAGTATATTTTATTCTATCTACGTTAATATTTATTTGCCTAAATACCCGATCTAGACCAAAAAAGTCAGGCGAACTGAGCGCTTACTCTGTATTTAATCCAAACTGCAAAGCCATCGAAGGAACACTTGATGCTTCGCAATTTGAGAGAGAAATAAGATACGGCATGGGAAGCGTACATTAATTTAAATGACAGAACGTTTAAATCGATCTAATTTATCACAGGCAAAAATAATACATACTTTGTACTTGTTTGTGTATAAATGTTTGTGTCTGTGTAATTTACAAGATATGCAAATGAAAAATAGGAACTCCAAAATAAAAAATTAAGCTAAGTATTTGGTAAAAGTGTAAAAAAAACGTCAATAATAATTATTGAATGTTACCACAGTCATTTCAAAAGACAGTTTTATATCTAAAATTTTGTACTTTTATATTTTCTCTATCGATTTTGTATAGTTAAAAGTTGTATAGCACTTTCATAACACTTTGCCACTTCATTAACATATATTATGATTTTGTTGAAAGGTTCTTGACTCAATTTAGAAAATTTTGTCCAATCAGTTCTGGATTCATTCTGCTCATTAGGACATAGGAGAATTCTATCCAACTCCATCAGCAAATCATTTAGTATTCTTGTGTCAATGGTACTGTAACAGAAAAAAAATATTCTTTATATTTCTGAAATGTTGCAGTATGTATAAGAATTTTATATGACCTGTGAAAATTACATACTTGATGTTATCAATTGCATCAATCTTTTTATTAAAAACTTTAATGCTAGTTAACAATTTATCCACGGTTTGTTGCATTTTTTCTAAAAAAGAAAAGAAAAGGTTCAATCTTATTGAATATCATAGAAATCAAAGTATTATTGTATTTCATACCTTTAACTTCCAATAATTCAGTATTGTTTATAGATTTTAATGCTTCAGACACAGTCTTATTAAAATAACTTGGATTCCATTTTATTATTAAACATTCAGAGAACCTCCAAATAGTATGACCAACTATTTGTGCTAAAACTATCTTATGCATTTCTCTTTCATGATGATTGACATTGCGTGTGATATCATTGTCCTATAAAATAGACACGTGTAAAAGATATACAATAAGAATTGTCTTTTATATAAACATTTGTAATTATTGCTATTGTTTACCATAAAAGACAGTACTGCGTGAGGTACGTTTAAATCTAGCCGGGAAGTTGAAACGTTATAAAATATGTCGTTTAAGGGCAATAAGTAACTGTTGTAAGAAAACCAATTTTTTACAATGCTAGCAGATTCTAAAACCATGGATTGTATAATGTCTGATCCAGATACAATAAAATGGCTTTTGTCTGCAATTAATTAAAACCTGTGTTTATAATTAATCACCTTCAACTTTTCTGTAACAACAAACCTTGTAAAACTTGGCGATGTACTACGATATAAGCCACAATTTTATGAGGCATAAGGTTGGACAATATCTCTGGACAAGAATTCAAAGATCCCGAGAATAAACAAATGATAATGGATCTACGAGGTCTCCATCTGTATTCTCCCTGAATTTGATTGAAAATTTTTGCCAATTCTAAAGCGACACCGACACCTTCACCGCTAGTCGATAAAACTACGTACCTATCTGAACATTTAAAAGTAAAACGTTGCAATTCATGTATGAGAAGTAACGTAAAAATCGGAGGATAACTCACCAGATTCTCTGGACCCTCTCGCGGTTGCCACGATGCACGATTGATGTTCGACAACCTTTTCAATAAGTGACAAATTCGATAGAATCTTATTCACTTGACGCATGTCATTGTCTTTTAAATTGAAATAGTCCCATTTCCTATTTTATAAATGTTTCGATATAATTGTAAGAGTCGAGAGTTAAAAGATTAAGAAGAGTAAAGGATGAACGTACATTTCAAAATCAGGATCAAGAGGCGCCCTTTCCAATTGTTCGAGCATCAGATGTTGGAGATACTCGCTGTTTTCTAAACCATTCCCCGCTAACTCGAGGCGTTTCTTTTCTGCCCGAAACTCTATAGCTCTTTGCGTGGCGAAACGACCGAGTAAAAATCCACCCAACAGCGATAGAAAACCGACGGAGAATATTAACGAAAAACACATACGTTTTGTCACAAACTCGCTAGACTCGCTGAGCCCACGAGCCATTTGAAAGCTAAGAACCCGCTGCATATTGACTATCCTGGATACACTTTTAAATAATTGAACAACTAGGAACAGTCATAGTTCGTAACACTTCTTTTCCAACACGATTTGTTCAATGAAACAATCGAGTTTGTTTGAGAAAATATTCGAAAGCGAAAATCACTTTTTTATCAGATAACAAAAGAGACTGTTGAGAATACCATTGACACGCAAGTTCATTCAGAATTTATCAAATAAAAAGGAATTGGAACACACAAAATTATCGACTAAAATAAATGCCAACAGTTTTAGAGAGTGAAGTATATTTTGTGATAAAGCATGGAAAACGTTGGTTCTTCAATCGGAGTCAAAGTGTTCACACAATGTAAATTCTCATGACTGGGTCTACCGTTGTCTCCGGTAGACCACTTACTTTAACACTGCGTGGGATAAGACTGATATATTTGTGAGTCTCGTCGGCTTTCCACCTCTCTGCCAGCGCTTCGATTATTATATCCTCAATAGACATGTGCGAATGAATTGAAAGAAACTCACAGATTAACAATCATACGGTATTATGTGTGCATGTTTATATATTGTATTTATATTGATAAGAAGAAAACATTCTTAACGTAACAAAAAATCCAGTTAAAAAAATATAAATGGCTGGAAATGCTTTACGAATATGAAAACAAACTTTTAATCATTTAAATTGATTAAATTAATATTGATATTGGTACTGCACATGTTTATGCACATCTGTATATTAATACTGAAATAGGAAATTTTTCCTAAAAATGTTTCAAAAAAAAAAAATATATATATATATATATATTTTATTAGAATTATTAAAGTAAGATAAATTATATTTATAAATGATATTTATAAATACAACACCATGTTTCACGATGTTTGCGTGGAGCAACTTATTTCGGGCAATAATGATGACGGTGTTTCGCTTATAAATAGTTTTCGATGTATTACGTGTACGTGCAAGGTTGTTTTAACTATAGATGTGCTGTTTCAAACTTCACAAAACTACACAAAAGTATTTACCCAGATGTTATGTTCCTCCAATGTTGAAGATTATTCAAGCGATTCACATACTATTTTAATTTTTATAGTTGGATTTTATTCTTTTTAATATGCAACTTTTGAGCTCAACTATTTTTTCCACAAAAGACAACTATAATTTATTGTCAAATATATGTATATATTTTTTATATTACTTTTTTTATTGTTTCAATTAGATTTAAGAAAGTATACATTTTATCGGAAACAAAAGAATAAAAAGCATAATTTATTTTTTACATATATGTATGTTTCCTGAGATATATTTTTTATCTTTATAAAAATTGTCTTATATATAAAATTTACATTCGCTATATTTATGTGTTTTACTTATGTATAATATTGTACATAATACACTCATATATACACACTGAAGTCATATCACAGCAACTGAACATTTGACATTGATTTATTTTATAATAATGCTGCATACTTAAATATGTAGTAATATTATATTAAACAGTAAAAAGATTCTGTTTCCTTATATTGTTTCGTTTTCTTTTCATCCGGATTAATCTTTTGTTTTCATATAAATGAATTTAATATCAGATGCAACAAGGGTATAGAAATATTTCATATGATTATACACGTTATCATTTCTTCAATTTTCGATGTATAATGTTTTAAATTGACATCTAAAACCCATGTAACAAATAAAATAAAGTACATACGCATATCCAACCAACTGTACATTTTACTTTGCAACATGTGTTCAAAATTTTCATAAGGCATGATTCTTTCTTTCAATATCCTGCGCTTCAATTACTACTTCCCGATAATTCTGCTAATAACCACGAGGATGCTTCCTTATGATGTTGTTTTATATGATTTCTTAGGTATCTCTTCTGACCGAATTTCATTCCACATTTACAGTCGAAAGGTTTCTCTTCGTTATGTATCGCGCGATGTCGCACGACTTCTCCTTTGACAGAGAACGTTTTACCACAGATTTCACAGGCAAAAGCTTTGATACCTGTATGCGTAGTTTCATGATGAGTCAGCCTCTGCCTGCTTCTGAAATGTTTCCCGCAATACGTGCATTTATGAGGTTTATAATCCGTGTGTACGCGATTGTGAATGTAAACAGAATTCAGAGTTCGAAACATTTTTGGACAGTGTTCGCACGCGTACGGCCGTTCACCGGTGTGAATCCTCCGATGATCGTCTTTCGCTCCTTTGTTCGCAAATGCCCGGCCGCAGATGTCGCAGGCGTATTTTTTCAAACCCTCGTGAACGTCTCGTATGTGTCTAGCTAAATCCTGCTCGATACGATACGATTTTCCACATAGTTCGCATCTGCAGGGCCGTTTGTCAGAATGCACGCGAATATGGCGTAGAAATCCCCGTTTTGTGAATATAATCTTCTTACACATGTCGCACTTGTATGATACACGATCGTTGATTATTTGCTTCGCTTTATTAACAAGCTCTGTCTCATCTGGATTCTCGATCGGATTGATGTCCGAGTGTCTGTTTATGTGCTTCTTCAATTCGGACTTTTTTGTAAAATTTCTCTCGCACAGGTTGCAAGTGTAACACGGAGGCTTCTCAGTCTGCTGATCGAACGATCTTTTATCATCTTTATCTTCTTTTCTCGTTTCGTTCGTGCATCCCAAACTTTCATCCTCCTCGGTGATGTCTTTTACTTTGCAATTGCTATTGTGCATCGACACGTGATCTTCAAAATCCTTATCCTGACCGTGATACACCAGTTTGCAATACTGACAATAGTGCATTTGAGCCTCGTGCTCGTTGTTCATGTGATCTATGAAGTACTTCATGTTCACGAAGAAAACGTCGCATTGAGCACATTGGATATACTCTACCTCCTCGACGTTCGTACTCTCGCTTTCGACCGTCGATATTTGCACAACAGTGTCAGACCTAATAGACTCGACCTTCCACCTGTAAAATAAACATTCCGATATCATATCACCGCCAATGTGAGAGGTTTTTCGGTAAATTCTTGCTGCGACTCTTCGAGCAACCTTCTTGACTGAATTTCGCATTGCACACGGGACAAATATAAGACCTTTGATTGTTACGGATACGTTTATAATGACTAATGACTGTCTTTAGTATTAGAAATTATCTGCCACAGGTAGTGTCGCAAGAATAAGGTTTTCGCTTGACATCATTATGAAAATATGTTTATCTAATTCTTGTTTTCCCCTTAAAGCTTTGAGGATTTACGAGCGGGAGAACTGAGGAATGATTTGTGAACGTGCAGAGATGCCTTCTGTGTGAATTCTTCTGTGCTTATCTCTTATGATGCTCTGGATGACAAACATCAGTCGCATATATTACAAACGAGATTCTTTAATATAAACACGTCTGTTTCAAGCCAAACGCTGAAATGAATGCGCAATCCCCGCAATCGTGACGCACGCGTGTAATTTCTTTCACTTGCATAAATATCTCGATGAATTAGAAAATTATACGAGAATGGAAGTACTTCCTCACAACGGTCGTATTTATAGTACGTTGATTACTTTTTTCAAAAGAACCAATTCCACTTCATTGTTTCAAGGTTCGCGTCGCAGACGCATGTCCTTTACATTTTTCAGAAGTGATTCCCAAGTTATTTCTTAATTGCTTTCTTAATTGCAATTGGTCAATATTAGAATCAGATTTTCCTCCATTGCTTCACGTCAACCGCGGATTGTGATTAACTTTCCTATGATTAACTAAATAGCGTTTCTGTCGGAACGAGAGGTTGCACTCTGTGCACTGCCATGGTTTATCGTCGAAGTGAATCAAACGATGACGTTTCAGCTCGTATTTTATACGGAAACGTCGGCTGCATATATCGCAAGCGTGCGGTTTCTCGCCGGTGTGTTTCTTTATGTGCAACGCGAGCGACGGCCTCGTGCGAAAGTTCTGATCGCAGTAATTGCATTTAAAGGGGAACACGTCCGAGTGAGTGCGATTGTGCACGAACAGAGAGGCTTTCTGCTTGAACGACTTCCCGCAAATGTTGCAAATGTATGGTCGTTCGCCGGTATGGATGCGTTTGTGATCCTCCGCGCTTCGTTTCGTCGAAAACATTCGGCCGCAAACGTCGCAGGGAAAGTTCTTTATGCCGGCGTGCGTGTCTCGCAAGTGTCTCGCCAGTCCTTGATTTATGCGAAACTGTTTGCCACAGAGGTGACAAGTGTACGACCGTTCCCCGGTGTGTATACGCACGTGCCAGAAGAACGTGTAAGGCGAATAGAGATTCTTCCCACACTCGTTGCAATGATAATAGATCTTCCCGTCGACTTCCATTTTGGCGCGCATCACCATTTCTCTGTCGGCACATTTCAACTTTTTATCCTTCTTTCTGGCAAACTCCGCGTGCGAGTCCAATAAATGTAACTCCAGCAGTTTCTTTTGCTTGACCGTATAGTCGCAGTACATACACGGATATGTTCCAAGTTTGGTTTTCTTGCATTTCAAATCTTCTCGATCTTTGTCCCCTTTGTTTGTATCTTCTGCATTTGGTGCGCTGCATTCAGTGGAGCTTCCGGTCGTGCTTTTACATTCGGGTATATGTCGCGTCAAGTGGTATTTCCCTTCGAAGATTCGACAACAGTGTTTGCACGTGTATTGGTTTTTCAATGAAGTAGCAATTTCATTTAAAGGAGGTAGCATTACTTTCACCATTTTTCTCATATCTAGATCTGCATTGTAAAAACTATCAAATGAATTATCCTCATTGTCGCTAATTCGTTCTTTTCTACTTTCTTTCAAGTTCGTCTCATTGAATGTTTGCTGCCACGAGCAATATGCCGCGAAGGATCTCTTCTGAGGTAGACCAAACCTGGAAAAATAATAAATGTACCAGATTTGAATGCTTTCTGCCTATTGGAAAATTCGAAGAATTTGCCTGAGCAGAGCATATTAGCATGCTCGTAAAGTTTCAATATGTCTGCTTTTAATATGATTATTCAAGTAACGTTTCTGTCGAAAAGCGAGTCCACATTCAACACAAACGAAGGGCTTAGTTTCAGAGTGAATTAGCTTATGTCTAACGAGTTCCGATTTCACTCGAAATCTTTTCGAACACACGTCGCAACCGTAATTTTTCTCTCCTGTGTGAGTGGTCACGTGAGCCAACATCTCCTGCCTTCTGCGAAACTTTTTATTACAATAAGAGCAAGGATGTGGAAACTCGTCCGTGTGTAATTTACTATGAATATACAAGGAAGCTTTTGATTTAAACGTCTTTCCGCACGAGTCACATACATAGGGTCTTTCGCCGGTGTGAGTTCGACGATGATCCTCTCTCGTAGCTTTCGATGCGAAAGATTTATTGCATATGTCGCACGTGAAATTCTTCAGTTTCGCGTGTACGTCCTTTAAATGTCTAGAGAGACCACCAGAGTCCCTAAATTGTTTCCCACACACGTGACAAGTGAACGGCCTTTCATCCGTATGTATCCTCATGTGTCTGAGAAAGGAATCCTTCAACTTGAAACATTTTCCACATTCGACGCATTGGTAAGACTCTTGAACATCAACGTTAGCTTTACTCTTCATATGTTCACAAAGATCGCTCGAGCTTTTCGAATTGTTGGAACAAGCTTTACATTTTCCTCTCGCCTTTTTACTTCCATTTTTTGTATTTGGAGAATCTGTTGGTTTCCCATTGTCCAGTTTCAACTTTTCGATATTGTCTGAATTATACATTTGACACACCTCTTCCTTTATAGTGACATCACTGTCTTGCAGTTGATCAGACATTATAGCAGGCTGATCAAGCGTCGAATTCATGACGGTAATCCACACTGACTCGCAATCTCCATTGTCTGTAGGCTTTCTTTCTTGGAGCTGGCACTTTTTTCTGTGTGACTTCCGAAAGACATTCTGCATATCTAGGAACATCTTAAACGGTGTTCGCATACTACTGGACCTGCAAAACAGTCAATACTTGACTCCGAATTTGCAGCTATACGACGTAGAAGATTGTTCTTGTTCAATCCAATTATCAACGGCACTTGAAAAAGTTAAGATTATTTTTCTTGGCAATCCTTAATCTCATAGTCATACATCATTGTTTCAGGACGTTTGTATAGACCACTTGCAATAGTCTTTGCGCACAACTATATGTAAATGTTTTGATTTAAAGAAATCACAGTAATCCTTGTTCCATACTCCAAATTGAAATACACAAAGCATTCTTTAACAGTATTTGTTTCATTTGCACTAAAAAATTTTTTTTTATCCATGTGCTCGTTATTAAAATCGATTTTATGAAAATTTTAACTACTAAGTTTAATGTTATTTATATTGGGCATATTTTCTGCACGTTCAATTACACATGTATATAACTCCAATTTGTCTATAGTTTTTTTTCTTTTTTTTTAAATAAAAAAAGTTCATTACCTGCCAGAATCATCAACAGCTGAATTCTCAGAGACTTCATCCTTTTCAACAATTTCTTGCTGTTGATGCTGTAATTAAAGGAACCACCTTAAAATACATTGAAAAAGCATTGATGAAAATTATTTGTACTATTTTTACACTCACAAGTGATTCTGTTATATTAGGTACAGATGTGTCCTGCGTAGAAGTTTCTAATCCTTCTGATCCCTGGAAAATCAATACAGATTTAAAAAAGATTTTCTTTTGGAATAATTAAGTAATTTTTTTTTATAGATAACTTTCTTATCTTGTATACCTGCTTTTCCTGGAAAGCATCTTGCATCTCCAATAATCTTCTTTCTGCGTTCAGGCATCCTTCTGATAATTCATGCCAGGCTAGTAATGTAGCAGCACAATGATAACATAATTGCAATGGGAGTACATCATTTTCAGATACCTATGAAACGTAATTTACATGATGTTACATACATTACGCATAAAAGTGATACACAATAAGAAAATAAATGCGTACACATATTGGTAGATATTTATGTATTTTATTACATAAGTCATGTTGTAAACCTTCTCCATCAAATATTGGAATTAAATGATCATTAACATTAGCACATATTCTACATAAATTAGACCATGAAAACTGATCATCAGACTGTGTTACTGTTGATTCTTCGTTTGATACTTCCGTCATATTTTGTTGTTCATCCTGAACATCTGTTACGACGAAAAATCCTTCTTCCTCATTTTCTAATTCAGCACGCGTATTCTCATTCACCATATCTTTTACTGTTTGAATTAAAATTGAATGTTCCCCGCATGATTCCAACATGACAGAACTGTCAGATTCCATTGTACCTAGTGTGTTAAATCAAGTCTTGTTAATGATGCAATATTGATTTTATTGAGATATTGTAAAAACAATGTACTTACAAAAAAAAAATACTTTTATAAAAATATAAATGTAGTTTAGCCCCTTTACAATAATTATAAGTTAAACTTTGCTTGGTGTCAGAATTTCATTTTCTTTCAAATATCACAAACACTATACCGTTTATTACATTCGACATGTATTTTATTCTTCAAAAATTCAAATCATCGCTCTTCTATTATTAATCATTCACGGAGATAAATTCATTCAGCTCCTTGAATTAATGATAGCATCGTCATGTTTACAAATTTTCACCTCTTTATGTGTCATTTTCGCGCCGAGTAATTTCGTTACACAATCAAAGAAAAAGCAAAGGAAAAGGTATTGTTACGTATACGTGATCGTTTGTCTACTAAACTTTAGTTTAATCAAATTTTACTTTCTAATCCTAGTAATTTGCCAAAAATTCACGAAATTTTCCCCGACATGATGGTGCAAACAAACTTTTACAGACAAACCGATAGAAAGTGTCGTTATAATCACTACTTTAATTTCTAAGAAAAATCTAGGGAATTAATCTCTAGGGAGAAATATTTGATTTTCACTGCCATCTAGTGGCGAACTTGTCGAACCAAGAAGAGCGCTTTCGTACAAATTCAAATTTCTATGTTCAATTCAGGTACATTAAAAAGCATGAATGCGTATCCTGATTCATTGCGTTTTATTTCGAATACTTGAATTTGAAGAATTTTACAATGCGAAAATATGTATGCTTATAGGTACATACAATCGGTGCTTTTTCGATATCATTTAAATATTCAAGACCTAAGAAGGCTGCACAGTACTCGGTCATATAACAATCAACATAACAATAAATTTTTAACAATGATAAATTTGCTTAACTGCAGTTTCTTTCGTTTTATTCGATATTTCTTTCTTTCTTTCTTTCTTTTTTTCTTTACCGGTGTTTCGATGTTGTTATATTTCCGAGTAACGATCGTATTTTCTATACTCGATGATTATAATAAAATAGTTGTACATAGCGATTATTTTCTTACAATATTTTATTTGTAGTAAATGCAGTAAGCTGACTAGTAAATTTTACAAATCACAGGTAGGAAGGGAGTGTTGCATATGCAACACAGAGGTATGTAATAACAATTTCTTCTTTATATACATCTGCTAATTTTACCGTCCCCGACGACTTTTACTATTGCGTTTAAATTCATCGTATCCTTGTGATTAAAGTAATTACATCAATGAAACAAATACAAGTAATTACGTTCCGAAATTCGTTTCAACAAACTTACTGCATAAGATTCGAAAACAAAAACTTCATTGATTGATGAGACAAGAAAAGAATTTTCATTGGACATTATACGCATGAATTGATATCTATATCTTCTTAAAAAAAATTTGCAATCACGCATCGTAATAAATATTTCGCATACACGAATACAGAAAGCATTTGGCATAACAGATTGTGAACATTTAAATACAAGAACGATACGTTAATTACACGTGTATTGGCAATGGTATATTAAAAAGCTCCCTAACATTTCGTGCCTTCCTTCGATTCGTGTAAATTTTATTTTCGACAATACTTACTCCTTCTTTGCTATAATTGTACATTTATTGCTAGCCGTTTTACGAAAGCAGGAAAACGTTTAAAACACATACGACCGTCGTAAAATTATATTCTTAAATTTCCTCGTAAAACAATCATTAATTAATAATAATCTTATATTCTTAAATTTCCTCGTAAAACAATCATTAATTAATAATAATCTTATGTAAGTGAAACTGTTGTGCACTTTTTACTTTTACACGTCACAACGAATATGTTTCGAATATGCAAATGCATGTCTATTTAAATGAAACTAGTCACAATATAAGAAAATACACTACAGTTGTAAAGGAAAGATATGTTTACAAAATAATGGCAGTATGTACCACTTCGCGTGTGATAATCTTGATTCACGACATCAATACTTCATATATTTAAGGATGGACGCAAACAGCGAATATTGAACTAATAATGCTTGAGTATTATTTTGTGAAACATATTATGACGTACGATGCAAATATAAATTTAGGCAATGAAATATAATAAACGTTGTATATATGAAAAAGATAATATTGTATGAACTAAAAAATAATATCTCGTCGCTTTACACAAATATGTATATATAAATAATACTTTTACTAAACTTATGCGAACAAGACGTATTGTATTATAAATAAAGGTTAATAAAAAAAGATGAAATTTAACGGGACAGAACACTTAACATGATCAACATGCATTTAGAACCAGATATTTAAATCTACTCGTTGTAGTTCCTCCTTTAGGTGATATCGACGCTTAACCGATTACAACATATCAAGCTATTAATGCAATTATGCAATAACAATATTCTCCGTGCTATGACGAGCATCGTATAGCTTTCTTTGTGCTTAGCAAGGGATAATATCAAGTCTCATGTATGAGATCAACCCACTGCGATAACTGTGTTATACATTATGTTGAATGCCATTGAGTTAAAGATCAACTGATACCTATGTCGTCATATACGATTGTATCACAGCAAATGAGTTGAATACATGTGTACCAATATTTCGTATTTCAATCGAATAACGCAAATGGAAAAATACAATGTTTCTCTCTTCTTTCTCTCGCGTGCAATATTATAAAGCTTGTAAAATGCGAATGGTATTACATTTGTTGGAAGAATAAGCTGTAAATCCTTGTATTAAATACTGACGGCATTGTATGGATGGATAAGACCTATATGATTTTAATCTAATGGATTGGTACCTGCCAATCGTGCTCGACAAACATTTCCCATTTTCTATTTAGCAACCATATCGTGAAAATCGTGGTATATGTTTCTTTCAAACTGAACGCGCATTAACTTATAATACTATCAGGCGTATTGCAGACTCAAAATTATACAAGTAGATGTACCGCTATTACTCTACAAAAGTACATCTTGCATTTTACGGCGAGTCTAGTTCAAATTGATTAATCATTCATTTTGTTACACTTTGAAAAATTGATCTCGAAAAAATTGTTAAACCTTTATCTTTTCTTCTGGACTATGTATATATTCGCAAAAGTACAATTCGTTGAGTGTTCGTAATTTCTTTTTAAACTATTATACCCTACGTCTAATCTCTAGATCCTTTATGGACGAATTTAATGAAATGTTGCTCAATAAGATTACAACGTACAAGAAAGAAAAAAACGAAATAAATAAACCGGAGAACACATGTTAATTTTCTATGTGCTTGCCCTCAACTTGACTAGACATAGAAAAGCATTTCAAATAAATGTATTTTTTAATTAAGTGAAAATATTTAACTTAAATAGGAACATCTTTGATAAAATTGTTAAAAACGATAATTAATTACTAAAATATCTCTCGAATTTCTGATAGAACGCTTATATTTTAACCAAGTGAAATTCAGTTTTGGGCCGATCTATCTAAAATTACATACTCGAATAACTTATATATGATTGACAAACGAAACATGACAAACTGAATAGCTTCGTAAAGTTGTAAAAGATTTCTCACAATTAATAAATTTGATTTGATAATTTCATTTCAAAAGGTGAATATTAATTGCCTATCATGTAGGCCGATAATGTGTATCTTTCTTAAAATGTATTAATTGAATTATTTATTCTTTAAAATTCCTGCTGTACCTTAAAACGATTCAATTTTAATTGGCCACACGTATTTCATACGATTAAAACTCGCAAAATCTAAATTCGTGAGTTTCTTTTTTCTTTTTATTTTAAGATTATTCCCTATCTAGCTTCGAATCTTTGATGCTGAAGACTAGTTTTAAGATAAAATCGTTATGTAAGAATATGAACTCGATTAGAGAGACCAGGAAAACTTCCTTAAAAAGGCTCGAGATATTATTCGTTGGAAGTATATCGTATAATGATATTCTTTTTTTTCTACTTTATAATAAATAAGCGAATATTAAAGCGCTTTTTAAGCGTACCCAAAATATTAGTTTTGTGATGATTTTCTTTACTATATTTATATGGGAAACGTTAAGATTATATGTATATATATATATATATGCGTGGATGATTGTCCACTTGTACTGGGAAGTCCTAGAACAGCCGTACATAGTATTTTTAACGAGCAAACATATCTATAACAAATATTCACACATTATACAACTAAGTACGCGCAGCTTTTATAGGCCTAGTAATTGATGATTGATTACATTTGCATTGTTCGCTGGTTGCGGCGTTGGAATATACGCGAGACGTGATGTGGGGCAAAGAGCCCAGTAAATTAGGACCAGGTAGACTCCCAGCAAAACCACTTCTTCCCAAAAAACTGTGAGCGCATTTATATAGCCTCGTCTGTAGGATTAGTATATCATCGAGATCTTGTTCACTATTTAACAATTAAACTGTGTATTAGACGATATCGTTGATAATTAAGACTATAACTGAAATGACTAAAAACTAATTAGTAAACTTACCTTGCTGTGGTTAAAAATTTTTGGAAAAGACGGTTCGGAACAGTACGTGGACGGTCAACTGTATCCGCGTAAAGATCTGTTTCTCGATTGTACAAATGTAAAAAGTCCGAGAGTTGTTTAGCCGTGACGGCGGCACGATCTTTATCGCTCAATTTACTACTTGGTGACTGTGTAAAAAATTAATTTGATTAAAGCGTATAAAATTCTAAAACAACATACGTACTTACATGACATACCGTAAAAAAGAATGGTGTCCTTAAATTACTAGCTGATTGTTGAAGAAATTTCATCACAAGATCGCAGCATGCTGGATCCGCTCTGGGCTGCGATATTTTACGCAATACGTGTCCTAAATATAAACCGAAGGCCTTCCTAGCTTCTCCAGGACTGAAAATTTGGTCAATTATGTGACACACGAGTTTATGGAGTTTATTGATTATGCAATTCTAACGATCTAACGATCACGTAACCAACCTAAGTTTATTTCCTTCGTGCATAGATTGCACCACTTGGCTCTTATACTTATGCTTATCCGTATCCATATTCTCTTTACTACTACCGCGGTCTAAACTTTGTTTGTGCCCTTTTACTAAAGCTCTCTCATATCTTTCGTACCTGTAATGAGTTATACCAATTGTACACTATTATTTAAGGATAGGTTTTCAAATCTTTTGTTATTTTCACAAAAGTACCTAGACAATCTGTCCAACGTAACCTCGGGAATGATAAAGTCAGTGGTACGACTAGCTGCGGGAAATAGTTGCTCGTGCAACATTAAATTGTGATTCGTATTGATCTGGTGTGGAACTCTGCCGGGTCCCAAAGGATCCGAGACCATTGGTATTCCCGTGGTTGGATCTAAAAGTACAAAATAATATTCGACGTCGTTCGAACTAAAAAAATTACTTTGAAACATTTACCTAAATACTGCGAGTACATTTCCCACGACTTTGGACTGGGAAATATACGGACGAATCCTCCTCGTCGTTCGAACTGAGCTTTCGCTGACGCTACTATTCGTTGCTGTTCGGTCGTTAATCCTGATTTATTGATACTGCCTTTGCTAACGTTCTTTTTCCTTTGCGACAATGTTTCAGCCGAGTGTACTCTCCTACACTATAATCAAACGACTTTCTCGTTTAATCGTGATACCTGAATATTCAGTCAAAAACTCACGGCGTAAAACTTACGTTGACTATTCTTTTAGTGGAATTTACTGTGGATCGGTTCAGGTGTGTAGTTTGGGGTCGTAACATTGGATCGACCGCTGGTATACCAACCAGAGTAAGCAAATCGGCTATCAGTGCCGATTTCAATCTAACATCGAGCGGCGAATCACAACCCAACGATGGCGTTAAATTCACTTCCAACAACCATGGTTTCAACGTGTCGTCGATTAAAATGTCAAATCCAAATAGCTCTACAATTTATTAAAAGTTTACATTTAAGTTGCATAGCATTGAATCTTTGACAAAATTGCAAGCAAAATTTACCAAAACATGCTTCCGGATATTTCACAAATTGCTTGATTCCGCTGACAATTCCAGAGGCAGTTGCAAGAATCGACTTTATGATGATATCCTCTATACGTTGCATCAACAATTCCGTGTCCTGGCCCGTCGAACGTAGATGTCTAAGCAACGCTGACAAAGTCCATTTGTGGCCCACATCCTCAGCGTCTGGATCTTCGCTCCTGCAAGATAATTTGGAAATAATCAGGAGAATAATGCTCGTTCTGACGAGACGTGAAAAAGACGATCCTGCTTACTTTATGTAGTCCACGTGAAATTTGTTGATGCTGTAATTGCACAAATGCATGCAGGGGTTCCAGATATACTGGTTGCCACCGTCGTACTTCACCGTGGCGAATCTCACTAAGCCCTCCTCGTACAGGTAGATCAACAGCGGATCGTAATTCGTCACGGCCACGTACAGCCGTAAGTCGCATTTGTGCCCGTCGACCAGAAGCGGATTATTTATGTACTGTGCAACGATCACAGATTCGTCCGTAAGAATCTTTTCTGGCTGCAAGCATAAAACGTGCATGGTTCGGCATCAAGTAGAACAAACACAATAAATATGTATATAGAAAAAAATTCGGAGCAACGTAGCCACGCTAAATATATATATGGAAAAAAAAAGAAAATATTCGTAGCTACGAATTTTACAAAGATTCGACAATGTCCAATTCACTACCATAAACACGTCGCACGACTCTTCTTATCACGATACACGTTGAGTACGACGGTGTGTGAAAACAAGCATGCAGGTGCAGGCCACGTTATCTAAATTCATACCTAGAAATTATTATGCTCACACTGTTAACAATATAAATGCCACGTCCGCGGGAACTGGCTTTCGGTTTGACGATCCAGGGCCCGCGGTACCTGAAATGCGCCGTGAGTAATTCCCTCGACTCGCTGGGCAACAGAAACGTTTGCGGTATGAAGTCCAAATTTCGTAGGCCTTTGCTGCGTTGCATCGCCTCTATGTTTTTGTACAATCGGTCCTTGCGGGTTATCTCGTACGATCTGCAACGGGAATCAATGGAATTAATAAAAATTCCCGAACTAAACGATGGTGTCTCCGAAACGAAACTTTTTTTTTTTTTATCGACGACGTTAGTTATTATTTTTAGCACGTGCCACGATAAACACATAACCGCGTTCTTTTATTCTCGACTCGACTGATTTATTCCCCCCCCCCCCCCAAACGATCGTGAACTGGCTCGATTTCCTGGGAGTTGTATGTTTATTTTCCCACGCAAACATCGATCGATCTTACGTTTACCTTGGGAAATGGTTCACTTTCTGGTGAGGCATTAAATTCCGTAGAATGTCTGGCTTCGGGTGGTTGCCCATCCACAGGATGTTGAAATCCATCTCGTTCATAGGAACCTGGAAAAATAATTCCAATAAACACTTCAATTTATAGCTTTTTTTTATTTTATTTTTTTTTTTTTTTAGGATTGTGTAGAAACACACATATTGAAACCATGATCAAGCTAGCAAAACCTGATGCTCGAAAAGTGGGCATTCGTAACTCGATGCAAATTTTGACGAAATGTGGAAGCGTGAAAACTTGTTTCCTATGGTCACGTGTGGTCGGTATATTTTTAATATTCGGCCGGCATTGCCATTCGCACGTATCATCGTCGACCTTGCGGTCACTTTTCATAGGGAATCCACGCGAGCGGATTACTAATCCGCTAATGGACACAGCGACGTGATAAAAGAGAAAAATCACGACTACGGCAGCATTATAACGTGCGGCCTTTATTATGTACTTTTGTTTGAGCATCGAGTACGTTCGAGACGATCGCAATTAGCAACGTCGTCCATTCACATGACTGAAAGGAACGAATTACGGATCTTCTCGCTTTGGGAGAAGCTTTCTGAAACTTGGGAGATCCGTGCCATTTCCCTGATTTGATTCATTGCCAGCTGAAGGAGAAGAAAGATTGGTAGAGAGAAGTTTGAGAAAACTTAGCCTGGAATGCAAATTTCCAACGCTTCGCTTCGAATCGACCAGGAAAACCGATGAGTCCGAGGAGTCCTACTGTTCCTAATACATTTTTAACGACCGAATTCACGAACTTGCAGGAGAGTCATTTGTGGCTTTTACACAAGAGATGAGAAATTTACGGCTTCTCGTAAATAGTGCATCTAAACCCAGATCGTTCTCCAAATGTATGTAAGTAACTTGGAATATCGTTCAGCGATGTTCTCTCTTCCGATCTGGCAAATGATCGAAGCGATCTTCCGCATCTTTGTGGGGAATTGTGTTGCGTCGTGCGAGAACAGGTAAATTAAGTGTACAGGTGTTGGCATAGACGACTTGTCCGAATTGGAGCAGTGCCTAGTCCTTTTACAACAGTAATTTATGCAAATAAGGTTGAATCTTGGCCTTGCGCATTACCATCGAGAGTTGGCCATGGCCGACGTATTAAGAATGAAAAAAAAAAGTATTACTATTATTGTAAATAGAATAATAAATAGTAGTTAATAATAAATAAATAATTTAATTCATAAATATACAAATACGTTAAATTTAGATTTTTAGTATTCGACTGTATTAAAAATTTTATATATATATATATATAATAGGTAAAAATCTGTAAATATATTATATAGGTATTGAAACAAAATTTAGATTTTTAATATATATATATTTAGATATGTGTTATATATAGATAATAGATATGGATATAAATACAGATATATATATATATATATAATATATATATAAAATAGGTAAAAAATTTGTAAATATATTATATAGGTATTGAAACAAAATTTAGATTTTTAATATATATATATATATATATATTTGGATATGTTACATATAGATAATAAATATGGATATAGATATAGATAAAATTTAGATATATAATATATATAATAGGTAAAAAATTTGTAAATATATTATATAGGTATTGAAACAAAATTTAGATTTCTAATATATGTATATATATATCGTTGCGTGCCGATCTGACCTCGACATATAAGTAGCGTTGAGCAGATCGGTGGCTTGCTGTCTTTCGACGTCAATGAAAGTCATCTGGTTCAAGATAGAGTTGGTTTAGGGTTGGATTGTTAGAATTGAGTAATGTAGATTGTCGTAAGAGAGAGGATGATTTCGTAAATGATAAAATTTGAGTGAGTTTGATAGTCGAGCCGTGACCTGTCGTACGTCGATGGGTTGTTCCGGAACTTCTGTGCGCACTGTACAATTGCCAAAACATTAACTGTCCTGTTTCCCTTTGGTCTTACATAGCTCTGGATTCTATGGTTACGGGATTAGGGAGGTATGCTAGTTGCATCCAGATGTGAAAGAGGTCGGTCCCAGAAAGTAGTATTTGCACTTTCTAACGGTCCCAAGATGTGTCCTTTGCCGTCGAGTATGACGCGAGCCTTGGAATTGGTAGTCCGGTGTGACTACAATAGAAGATGCAAGGTAACGAAGGACATGAAATATGGTCACGGGAGACCCCTGCCGTCGAGAAATTAGAAATTGTAAAATTGCTTTCCCTGGCTCGATGAGTTTTGTTCTTCGCGGTGCGAACCCCACCTCCATAGTGTTCGGTAAGGCCGAACATATTTAGATATGTGTTATATATAGATAATAGATATGGATGTAGATACAGATATATAGATGTAGATAAAATTTAGATATATATATATATAAAATAGGTAAAAAAATTTATAATTTATCATAATATAGGTATTGAAACAAAATTTAGATTTTCCATATTTGTATATATTTAAATATATTGTTGGATGACCAACCCCAATATTGAATCCATGCAAATACTGACAATGAGCTAGCAACAGTCTACATAAAAGTGGACTGTGAATAGTTAGTCATAAGGGCATGATCCAACAGTTAATCATCTATGCTCCTTCCTCTTCCACTTGATGATGATAACCAAATATATAGAAGGACATGCTTTAGAGACATTCGATAGCATAAAACATTCTAAATCATTATAGAGACATTCTATATCATTAAAAGCATCAAACGTTCCAAATCATTCCATATCATATTCAAGAGCATTAAACGTTGTAAATCATTCTGTATCATTCTATTTCATACAAGACCACGACTGTAAGGGAATAAACTCTTCTAAATTGTAAGTGTATTGACTCCATTACACAGAATCCAACAATATGTTACATATAGATAATAGATATGGATATAGATATAGATAAAATTTACATATATATATAAAATAGGTAAAAAATCTATAATTTATTATTGTATAGGAATTGAAACAAACATATTCTTAGTTTAAATTTGGTTGTTTGTATTAAAAATGTACAAACGACATTCTTCTACACGCGTGCAAGATTTTCACGTGACATAGAAAGTTTGGCGAATAATTCACACGGTTCTAGGTGCAGCATCGCGGCGCCACGCATATTTGCGTATGATGAGCTAAGCTCGATAAAGGAGCACCGACGATCGCGAGAGGCACGTGATCTAGCGATCGTAGCGAATGTAGATCATATCAATTGACTCTAATGAAGATCGACCTCATCGTAATTCGATACCATACTCCTCGAGCCTCCTCGCTTGACCGCAAGACCAAGCTCTAATACAGTTTGACGCAATCGTCGCTTCCATGAAATCTGCAACGCGTCCCCCGACCTTTCGTCAATCGACACCGGAATAAGAATAAAAGCAGTTTCGTGACGTGTCGTTTGTATAAAGCAAAGACTATGATTCACGGTGGACGAGCTGTCGCTTTGACGAACTTGGTACGTCAAAGCACAATCGAACATGCACTTGCATAGATTCTTATGTCTCGTCAGAACTATAATACTGGCGAGGAGTTATATTTGAACACTACAGACAATTACTCCAAATTTTAGTATATATCGGAGGTGTGTAAAGTAGAAGACAAGAAGACAAAACAATGACGAACAGAAGTTACAAGGGGGAAGTTCGACGCGCAGTAACTTCTCTATAGACTACGTGACCATGGTCACGCCAGCCAGGCTCATTGACTTTTCATTTATCGACGCTCCGTCTCTGCGTTTCATCGCGACGTAATGGCTCTGCTGGCTTTCGCATTACAAGATCGTTAAACGATCGAAAACACTCGGCATGCGAGGCGTTCCGCGATGAGTCCTCCGCCTCCCGCCCGAGAAAAAGAAGAAAGAAAGAAAGAAAGAAAGAAAGAAAGACAAAAACGCGACACCAAAAATACAATCAATCGTCGAACTTGAGTTAAACGGTGTTGAACCCTGTTGAACATCGCCGGCGAGTAAATGCAGACTTTGCTTTCGCAAAGAGAGGAACTTTATCGTTCAAACGAGCGAAAACAAATATCCAGCGGTCGGAATGGAAACGTAACACGCAACAGCAAAGGAAACGACCCGAGGCGTTCGACGCGAATGGTAGATCTCAAGGACCGTATTTCTCATTTCGAGCCGAAGGTCCCGGACCGCGTATCTGTCTCAATAATAACGCCTCGTCGATCGGTGTCGAGGATCGATCGGAAGGAATTGTACTTGCAAAGGCGACAAAGCGAGCAATGCGGAAATTTTCGTAGAAACTCCAGCGGCCAGGGACAGACGGTGGTATACACATCGTGCATACGCACGTTTCCTACCGAGTTACCGCACAAGCGGCGAACAACACTCCAGGACCGGTTAGCTTTTCAGTCACGGACCTTCCGAGGCGGCGCGCGCGTGACCCTCAAACCTTATCCCACCAGATCTGCCCGTGTCCTCACCTGTTGTCCGCCATGATCGCTGCACGAATACACGATCCACCGGTGAGATATATCAAATTATTCGGCGATTATTATTACTCTCTCTCTCTTTCTCTCTCTTGTCATCTTTCTTCCAAATGTCTTTTCGACATTCTTTTTCTGCCGGCCAGAAGAGAATTTGCTTCTCGCCCCTCGAATACCGGCAAAAAAAATTGATCAGAATTAATTTACATCGATCAACGCGCATCACATTGCGTACCGCAACGCGCCTAACCTGCTGCTCTCCCAGGGCCCGCACATTTTTGGAGCGACAAGGAAACTTTGTGCAACGCGTACATATATGCACTTCTTTAATTCATATTGATAAAATATTCTTGAATATTACTATATATTATTTTATAATATTATAATTATAGTATATATATATATAAAATTATATTATTATAATTATAGTATATATATAATTATAATTATTATAATTATAGTACATATATAATTATATTATTATAATTATAGTATATATATAATTATATTATAATTATTATAGTATATATATATATATAATTATATAATTATAATTATTATAGTATATTATTATAATTTTATAAATAAATTAAATAATACTATGAAATAATATATATTTATAATAATAATTATAATATATACTATTTATACCAT